TCATGGGTTGCAAATCACAGGTTAATGCCTGTAGCCAGCACTTGGGCTTACAAGAGAGGCCACGGTATTTCATTATGCAGGATGATGAAAACAGCTTGTGCACTTCATAGGAAATTGAGGGCAGATCCTCAATATTTATTACAACAATACTAATAAATCACAGATTCATTTAGGTTGGAAAAGACCTTCAAGATCAAGTCCAAACGTTAACCCAATACTGCCAAGTCCACTACTAAGCCATATCCCTAAGTGCCACATGTATGCACGTTCACCCTTTTGGTGAAGAAATTTTTCCTAATATCCAGTCTAAACCTCCTGTGGTGCAATTTGAGGCCATTTCCTTTCATCGTATTGCTCCTACCTCCTATTGGAGAGACCAACACCCACTTTGGAACATCCTCCTTTCAGGTAGTTGTAGAGAGGGATGAGGTCCCCCCTGAGTCTGTTTTTCTTCAGGCTAACCAGCAGTTCCCTCACAACCACTCTTTTTTCACCAGGCAGCTTTCCAGCCTCTCTTCCCCAAGCCTGTAGCGTTGCATGAGGTTGTTGTGGCCCAAGTGCAGAACCTGGCACTTTGCCTTGTTGAACCTCATACTAAGGGCCACAGCCCATCGATCCAGCCGGTCGTGATCCCTGTGCAGAGCCTTCATACCGTCGAGCAGATCAATACTCCCATGAAACTTGCTATTAACATTTCAGTCTGTGACAAACAGACTGTTTATAAGTTACCTCTCATTCCCTTCCCACACAGGTAGCAATAGGCTTTTTATTTATTTTATTACTCCTCTTGTACTGTCAATTTTTAATTTTTTTTGAGCATTTAACAGTAAATATGAGATGATACAGAAGGAAATACTTATAACCCCAAAAATAGTCAGGGACTTGGATGATGCTCAGTTATTTCAAATGCGTCTGGCATTATGGAGATGTATGGTAGACCGCTGCCTGTGATGAGCTTAGATTGCTAGTGTGGTTTTTACTTTATTCTTTGGCCCCTTTCTCTTATTTTATTTCCTTCCTCCCTCCCAACTATTCTTAGGAAAAGACTAGCTATCTAATAAAACTGTATATGTATCCAGCAGCGATAACCACACTGTTACTGAAGTAATAAGCTAGTATGACTAAGGCTTTTTTTGCTTTACATTTTCTAATTGAACACTAAAAAAATTACATTTTATTTATTATTTAAGGAAGGTCGTGATTAACAAATGCAAGAAAATACCTTTATGGTTAAATTTGATTTAAAACAAACAAATGAAAAACAACAAAAACACAAACCAAAAACAGCCACCTCCAATAGTCAGTAGTATCATGTGTTGGAAGGTCTGGAGTGAAACTGAAATTTTGTCCCAAATAATTCTGTTCTGTTTCAAAATTTCATTGTAAATTAATTGCATAGTGGAATAATTTGTCTTGCTTTATGTTGCTACTTATTTTGGAATTAATAAAAGCAGAATTTGCTTGAAGCCAAGGAAAGGCTTCACTACTGTGAAGCAGGTGCTTTTCTATTTCTGTAAGAGACAGGCTTACAGTCTGTTTACAGGATCACATAGTTCAGTCATTGACTTCTCAGGAAGCAAAAACATAAGTATGTGTTGGAAAACGGTTGGAGTTCTTATCCATGTTGACAGTAGCAAGCCTGAATCTTTGTGTTGTTAGTGATTAAATGCTTCTAAGAGGAATGCCGGAAGCCCTACGCATGGTGCATAGACCTAGAACAGGAGAAAACACTTGAGAAAACAGGACATCTGGAGCTAGGTATTGCAATAACTGTTTTTATGCCTATGTTATTAAAATCTTATCAAAGGCAGAATTAGACAAAATACTTCAGTAGTTTGCAGGACTGTGATTTGATTTTATTTCTTTTTTAATCCTTTTTTAGGATTGCTGTGGAAAAGCTTCATGAAATGGATGATGCTTTCAGAAAACAACTTGGGTCAATGTTGGTAGCTCATCAGGAAGAACTATTGCAGCTGGCAAATGAAAAGGAAAAACAAATTGAAGCAGCAAATGAAAAAGTAATTTAAATACTAAATTTGTATGTTTATTGCATTTGCATTTTTGTTCTGCAGCTGCTAAAACAGTGGTGCTTGGAAGTCACCTGTCTGTATCTATTCAGCTAGTCTCTGAATGGAAAAAGCCCTGGTTTAGTACTCAAACTTCACACAGCCAAAACATCTCTAGAATTTGTACCATCGGGAGGTTCCGGATTCAAGTAAAGGGGCATGTTGTGTAGCTGGTTATGAGGCAATAGCTAAGCATTCCCTTACTTATACAAGCAAGAATAATGATGATTATGCCATCACCTGTGCCAGTGCTAACATATGTTCCTGTCACATACGCAGTAGGTATTTTGATGTTTGTACATTACTCACTGTCTCCTAGCAAATTAATACTTTTTTAAAGGCAAAATTATGTTACTGCGTACAGTGTCAAAAGTAGTGCATTGCTTATTTAAACACAAGCATGTTACTCTTGCATTGCTTAAGAGTGTTTAAAAATAGCCAAGATTGTATGGGTTTGGGTATATTAAAGAAAAGCAAGAATCCTATTTAATCCCATGTGCTCTTTCAGGTTTACTGCGTTGAAGAAGAAATGCGGCAGCTTCTGCAGGAAATGGCAAACCATAAAAAAGCCATGGAAAATAAAATAAGACGACTTACATATGCACTGAACGATTTTCAGCAAGATCTTTGAAAATTGTGTAACACACATTTTTAGTGTATATAGGAACAGATTTTAGCAAATTCATACATGACACTGCATTTTTCCTTGTTTTCTAGAGAATAAATTATTTGATATATTTTGATGATTCAGGATTCAGACAAGTATTTTTACATTATTTTAATAATAACTATTTATTTCTAATCTTTGGTTATTTTTAACTTCTGCCAGAATGGGTCAAAATATATAAAAGAAGAGCATCATATTAGCATGTTTAATAAGAGGAAAAGAAGATTGGGCCTTTGCTTCTAAAACAAGAGCCTGAACTCTTGCTTCCTTGGGGAAGAGATTAAGAACATACCTGAAAATTGTTGATGGAGCATACATGATTTCTGCAACTCAGAGTGCCTTTTTTGGCTGCATAGTTTGGTTCTCTACAGCAATAGGCTTCCTACCAGCTTTTGAAAAACAGGAGATAATAAGCTAACAGCTTTTTACAGAAACTAATCATCAGTTTTATGTTAATATGGCTGTTATATTTCTTTCATGAGGGAGAGTTTACCATCTCTGCTGTACTTGGGCATTTATTGTATTTGCTTGTTCTTGGAACATCCTAAACTGTTGTTGCACTACACCACACTGAAGCGTTTAATGCTGCAGTAGCAAGTAAAACACCAACTAGTAACCACGACAGTTACTTGTTGGTACACCAGATGGAGCTATTTCTTCCCGTCTCGTAGTAGCTAAAGGAGAGTCCTGGTGCTCCAATGAGGATGGAAGCCAGGTTTACCATGGGCCTCTTCAGAGCCCAGTGCTACAGTGTAACGGTACAGGTGCATCATTTTTGTGCCCAGTAAGAGCACCAGTGCTAGTAGAAGGCCCTGGCCTTTGGCTAACTGTACAAGGCCTGTTGGGCTCGTTATCAACTTGTTATGAAAGCTTGCTGTGTGAACCAGAGCTTGATACCAGCTCTTCTTGTTATGAGGTGCAGCTGAAGCATGGGATGTAACAAAGTCCTTGAAAACAGCACAAGCTGAAAGTGGAGTCCAGGGCTGCAAAAACAACTCACTGATGATCAGTGACTGGACTTTCATAAAGCACAACCTTGAGAGCTGGGACCAGGCTGCTTTTGCTCTAAGAAAGGAAGCAGCAAAGCAAAATAAACAGTCCAACAATTGAATAAAGCACCTCCAGTGGCATGGGAAATTAATAGCCCTTGCCCTGCTGTCCTGGGTTCAGCAGCAGCAGTCATTTTTTCTCCTTCTTAGTAGCTGGTGCAGTGCTGTGGTTTTGACTTTCAGCCTGGGAACAGCGCTGATAGGACCAGTGTTTTTAGTTACTGCTCAAATGTTTAGTCTGACCAAGGCCTTTGTGAGTCTCATGCTCTGCCAGGGAGGAGGGGAAGCCAGGAGGAAGCAGAGACAGGACACCAGGACCCAAACTAGCCAAGGAGCATGTCATGCCCAGGATGTAAAGTAAGAGTTACCCAGAAGAGCGAGTTGACTGCCAGGGTCCGGCTGCGTATTATCAGTCAGCAGGTGGTGGTATTGTATTCCCTTGTTATTTCAATTATTATTATCATTATTGGTGGCAGCAGTAGCGGTTTGTGTTATACCTTAGTTACTGGACTGTTATCTCAACCTATGGGACTTGCATTCTTTTGATTTTCTTCCCCATCCCTCCGGGAGTGGAAAGCGGGGGGGGGGGGGAGTGAGAGTGAATGCATGTTTATGGCTGAGCTTAAATGATGACACCTGCACTGCACAGTACTGTTTGTGGGGGGAGGGCAGGGAGATGGCATGGGCTTATGAAGGGTAAAATTCCAGATCAGTGATTCAAGGTCCAGAAAGGGAGCCCACCTGCTTTCTGCTATACGTACAAATAAAGCCCTGACCGTGCGAGTATTAGTTGTGCGAGTACAGCTGCTGTACAAAATGGCACACTCAGGGTAATGTCCCTTCACTCTATGCTGCCTCCTGCGATGGGGCATGTAAAAGGGGTCTTTTCCCTCACCAGCCCACTACCACCTGCCCTCTGGAGATGCGAGAACATAGTTTATAAAGAATCTAAATGAGTTTATATCGAAACCAAACGGTGGAGTGACGAAGCGCTGCTGTGCACGGGACAGGCAGGCCTGCGGGGCACCAGGGCCCTGCCCGGCTCTCCCGTTCGGCGGCCGCGGGCAGGGCAGCGCCTGCTTCCCCGGGGGACGGGCCCTGAAGCGGACCCTCCCTGCCCCGCGGCCAAAGCCCCGAGGGGCGGGCACGGCCCGTTCCCCTCCGGCAGCCCCTCGCCGCCCGCGGCCGAAACATGCCGGTGTCCAGGCAACAGCGGCGGCGTCACTTCCTGCGGCACCGCCCCTCCCGCCGCAGCCGTCGGGCCGCGGCTCCGTTCCGGGCTTGGGCCGTTGCAGCGGTCCGGACACGTGGCGCTGCGGTGCGGCCCCGCAGGGCGGCATGGCCGCGGCGGCCGAAGCGGCGGGCGGTGGCAGCAGCAGCCGCCACGAGAAGAGCCTGGGGCTGCTGACCACCAAGTTCGTGTCGCTGCTGCAGGAGGCCAAGGACGGCGTGCTGGACCTGAAAGCGGTGCGAGGGCGGGGCTGGACGGCGCGGGGCCTGCCTGCGGCGGGGGAGGACGGTGCATGGCCCCGCCGCGCTGCGGGAGGGCGGTGCAGTGGCGGGGCGGCCGAGTTGGGCCGGGTCGGGCTAAACTCAAGCTCAGCCGGGTCGGGCCTGGCCGAGGGTCCTGGTCTCCCCTTCCTTCCTGGGGCGGCGGGGGGTGCCCGGTGATGGCTGACAGCTACCGCCGTAGGCTAAAGCAGGCGTTCCGCCGCTTTTAAAGAGGGTAAAATAGTTACCGTGCATAAAATTTAGCTGGCTGTTTTATTGTTTATTTTGTACTCTCCTGCGTTGCTGTCTGTACTGACTCAGTGTATGGGCCTTTATTTAAACTTGTTCCTTGTCAGTTCCCCTCGATACCCTTTTAGCAAAGAATAACAGTGTTGAAAACCAGGCCATGGCCTTTTTTAGTACTTTTAAAGTCTATATAAAGCAGATACACTGTATATAAAAGATGCATAATTGGCGGGGTGGGTGGCAAACCGTCATCACTCTCTTCTGCAGCCGGCCGCCTCTGAGGCGTAAAGGGTTGGGCAGCAGGAGGACTTCCCCGGTGATATCCTGGGACAGTCCCAATCCTGTGCCAGTGATGGAGGGGCTGGGGCTTTGCTCAGGGGCATGCAGCACATCGAGGTGAAAGGGTATTTTGGCTGTTTTAGGCCCACAGTGAACTGTGAGGGGTAAGCAAGGTGAAATAAGAGGCTGCTTTGGCACTTTGGTTGCTTGGAGCCCTTTGTGGAAAACTGGCCTTATTTGTTGATAGTTCTCAATGGGCTCCATGGAGGTGAATGGTGTTCTCCGAGCCTTTCTGTGCATCCCTGTGGAGAGAGCAAGCTGTTCAGTGATGCTACTGTGGCTAGTGCAACTTCAGGGTGCACTTGGAAGGACACTGATAAGTTTTATATTCCTCATCTATTTATGCTGTGGTGTGGGCAGGTAGATTAACTTCTTGGTATTTAACTGCCTCTTTCTTTACTAAAACAGAACTAAGCTGTCCATATCTCAGGGACTGTTGTGCAGCTTACTTTTGCGTGCTGTGAGCTGTTCCAGGTCGGTTTGAGAAGCAAACCGTACTCAATTTGTAGGACATCAGGCCAAAAAGCTGCCTAAAAATCTAAAAATAATGGATTTTAACAATGGAGTTGGGCTGTATAGAGGCATGGGATGATATTTCTCATTTCTTTTTGTGAGGAACGAATACCCCTAGAGGAAATGGGAAGGTTGGTAGAGTGAGCATTGCAACAAGCCATAGACATTTCTGCTCAAGACCTATTGGAGACTAGTTTCTGATGCACAGGATACTGTTTGTTAGGAGTAAATACTAACTGAAGTGCATAAATCATTTGCACTTTCATACACCGAGAGTCAGAATGTACGTTTCTGTAACCAGTATTTCTCATGAATAAGCTGCATATCTAAGGAAAAATAAAAGCCAACATTCAGGGGAACTGAAGAACAGGATGGTCTTGAAATGGGGTAGTGTTCCAAGAAATGCTTTATGCAGTGAATGTCTTCAGATGTCTCCCTACAGACAGGTATTGTGCTGCTGGTGCATATTTCTGCATCAGAACCAGCAGGGCACTATGAAGGAAATACACGTTGGAAACATTAAGTGTACTTCTAGCATTGTGATTTAGCAGTTGAGAATGAACATTTCCTGGACAACTTTGGGTACATCTATAATTACAGTTCTGTAAGAGAATACTTTTGGGCACATGTGCTGAGTCACTGTGAAGAAGAAGTGATGTATCCCATACATGGGTGCTGTTCCTCGCTCTAGGTGCAGGGAGCCCTGCGAGTTCTGTGTGATGAATTTCTTTTGGAAATGTTTCAGTGCTGGACACTTCCTTGCTCACATCTGAGAAGTTGTGGGAGCGGGAGTGAGGATTTTCTTTACATAAAATTGTAACTCTACAGTGCTTACTTTAAAATGAAACAGCTATTCTCAAATCATGGCATAACTGCCCCTGGTAACCCTGCATAAAGAAGTCTAGTTAGGGAAATAAGCTTAAAACATTAAGGGATGATATAGAAGGGAAAGTAATCAAAGTTCCTATATGCAGCAACCCACAAATTGCAGGGAAGAGAGGAAAAAGAACAAGATGAGTGAATAAGGGTTGTCATCTGAAATGATGCCCAAGACATTAGGTATTTTTTTCTCTTCAGTAGCATACAATTACTTCTGCCTTGATTTTGTGAGCAGGCTTGGTTTTTAGCAGAAAGCCATCCCTCCTGTCCTGATTGTGTTTCTGATGAATAGTGCAAAACATCAGGTACTCTAAAATCTGCTTGTTTGCTACTAACTTTAGAAATGCATTGATCAGATGCAGATAACAACTGCCTTAGATTGCCCTATTCCACAGAAGAAGAAAAAGCCCATCTGTTACATGGTATGTTCCCTTAACCTTTATGCACATAATAATACTCAGTACTTTCACGTACAGGCGCCAAGCATGCCTTTCAGTATAAATCTCCCACCAAACTGTTGACAGTCCTGCTGGGGAGAAGAAGATGTCACCTACTATGGCACAGTCCAGAAAATGCAGGACCTCCTTCCTTTGACACATGAAGAACAAGCAGGCATTGCTGGCCCTTATGCTTTGTTAAGCTTCTCCATAATGACTGCTGTGGTGCTCTAGCAAATTCCTCTGCTCTTCCAAGCAAATGCATTGAATGTGCAGCCAATGCTTCCCGCTGCCTTTTGTCAGCTCCCAGGGAGCAAAGAAATTGTTGTGAGAGAGTGCAACCAAGCTCTCGGTTATCCTTTTTCTGGTTGGGTGTTTTATTTCTGGGCAGGGTTTTGTGTGTGTTCATGCTTGCAGCTAAAACTGCTGACCAGTATGTTTTCTGTATTCCAGAAGTTGCGTGATGTGTGTGCACACAGAACTGAAGTCCTGCACTTAGATGTTTTTCTTCCAGTTCTGAATCTGCCTGTGAGATGCTCATAGTACTTGTCTTTCTTAGATACGTACTTAATCAGAGGAATGACTAGGGTGCAGCAGCTTAGGTGGAAAAGGTTTTATGAAGGAACTCCAAATACAAATGATTCAGAGGAGGGACTGTGGAAGCTACATCTAATCATATTAGCAGAGCCACTGTGGTACATGTCCCTTTCTTATGCTGCTGGATCTGCTTCAACTGTTTGACATAGGCTGAGAAATTGAATTTTGAAGTGTGTTTCTGACAACATGATACTTGCCTCTGGAGGCTGTTCTAATTATTGAAGTCATTAGTGTCTGGTTTGTATGAAGGAACTGAATGCCTGAACTTAACTTCTAGCCATGTGCCTGCCAGGACATGGCACACTGGACAGTGTCAAGAAGGAACTTTTCAATTGTTTTTTAAAATATCTGTGAAGCTCCCTATAAAATTTTGAGAAGGTAATTAATTAGGTTAAAAGACCAACACCAAAAAGCTAGTGAATTGTCTGGATTCAACTTCCCAGCTGGCCCCAGTTCGACTTGCTAGTTGGATTTCTTGTTTTAAGTAGTTGGATTTTGCAGCTGTGATTGAATTATATACAGGGCTAGTCAAGCCAAATACATATGTAACTGTGGTGTTCATTTTCTCAGTCAGTAACCTGAGGTTCTGGAGCCTAGTTTGAAGCAGTCTCCACTGCTGCTGTTAGTGGGAGCTGTGCTTTGGGGAGATGAAATGCAGCAGCATTTAGAGTATTGAGATTACTCCAGTGTCGAACTATCTGAAGTTGAGCACTCAGAATTACTAAATTTTTTTTTTAAGAAGTCTTTAACTTGTGTATCATAGCTACAAATTTATGTACAGTGGTATCTTTCACTGCCAGCACAGTTTGAAAATACATTAAGGGTAGTAAAGCATTACATGTTGTACAGATGGGCCTTTTGTAATATCTCAAGAGGTAATGCAGTCTATCTCCAGAGCAGTTTCTTCATCGTTCAGAATCAGTGGTAGTCTTAAGCCCTAGGTCCGTATGTAAAGCAGTGAGAAAAGAGCAGAAAGTTGAGTAGCAGCTGATTAATTGCATGTGGTCTATTCCTTGTACTGAATACTGCAGACAGTTTGTAGGAATCGTGCCTCTGAAGACTGTGAGAGATAAGGGGTGTTGATTAAACATTGCATAGGTAGTGTCAGTTTTGTCAATTCCTAGAACCTTGAAGGCTTCTCTTGCAGTTATCATAAGCACCATGTATGTATATGCATGCAGCAAAAATAGCAGGTTAAGATTGCAGGCACGTACCTGCTGATGCAAGTGACTGAAGAGCCAGTTTCCTGGGAGAGAACTAACGTGTGTGCCTTATATGTATTTGTATTTGTTTTGTTTTGTTAGATAGGAAAAGATTTTAACAGACTGCTACGGAAAACTGTACAAAAGCTAACTGTTGATAATGGTATCAGCAGAAATATAGTTTAGTAGGTACATCGCTATCAAGGAGAAAAAGCAGTGTTTATACTTCAGAGTTATGAGTTGGTTATTGGTTTTTTTTTAAATCTCCTTCTTTAATTTTTGCATTTTAATTTTTGCATTTTAATTTTACTTCACTAGCAAAAATGAAAAATAATTACTACCAAGTTCTAGTTATCAACTTTCTCACAGGGAAATGTTACTTCTTTGGGAGATTAGCGAGTTTGTTTATAGTTCAGAAAATACTGTAAAAGGAGTTATGTAGACTTTGCTATAAAATGGATTTGGTTTTCCTTCCTAGTTATGATTGTCTAAGGTTCTACTCTTCATATAATTTACTTTATTAAAAGTATTAATTCAATAGATTGTTAAGACAAACTGAAATAAATCATTATGTGCCTATAGTGGAAATTAGTTGGCTTTACTCACTAGTTCACATTTGGAATGCAGAAGTCTTTGCCAGGTATCCTTCTCTTCTTGTTTTTATTTTAATCTGTTTAATACATATAATCCCTTGTAATCACTGAATCTGAGTTTCCTGAGTAGGTGCAGAATCAGACTCCTCTTTACTTTTTCTCTTTTTAGCTAATATTCTCTGAACTTGAGCTGCTTCACAGCATCTAAGAGCTGAGGGTGTGGAAGGCACAACTAGCTCAAATTTGCTTATTTTATCTTAGGTCTTTGCATCAGGTACATAAAAGTCACCCTGCAGAGAATTACAGTGTGAAACAGACTGTTTCCTCTGCTTGACACTGCTTTGCTCTCAGTGAAGAGCTCCAGCAGCATGCAGACACACAGCATAGTTAGCTGTAATGTAAAAGTGAGAGTGTGACCTTGGCAAGCATCCCTGTGATCTGTACCAAGGTCCTGGTGGCTGTGAAACAGCTCTTGGCACTCAGCGTGACAGATAAGAGTAAGCCCATGTATGCTGTGAGGTGAATTTGTGCAGTGAAATGTTAGAGGATGATGCTGGCTTGAAGTATTGCAGCTCTCCTTCAGCTGCCATGTGAAACTACAGCCTTGTCATTTCATACCCCAGAACAATTTAATGGAAAAAAGACTGCAGTACCTCCAGCGTCAGCAGAAGGGATATGTCGGCTTCAGAGGTTTGCTTAACTGCAGGGTGTTGCTGTCAGCCTTCCCTACTCTGTCCTAGCTTCCAAAAAGAGCAGTGCAAGCTCCTATGCGCAGTTGAATAACAGGTGCTCCAAATGCCAGACAGGGGTTTTGCAACACATGTAAACTCTCCTCTCTGTCAAGGAGAGGAGGCCTGCTGGCCTTCAAAGAGGTGACTCCTCTCAGTGTGCTTTGTAACACTATACACAGAACTTTTGAATTCAAGATTGAGCTCTTGAACTGAACCTTCTCCTATCAGAATGACATTGGTGGGCATTTTTCCAAGGGAATGGCTTAACTGTTTTTTGCCCTCAGCATGCAAATCGCTGATATTCTTCTCTTGACAGGCTGCTGATACCCTTGCTGTGAGGCAGAAGAGAAGGATCTATGATATCACCAATGTTTTGGAGGGGATTGATCTCATTGAGAAGAAGTCAAAAAACAGCATTCAGTGGAAGTAAGCCGTGACAATCTTGCAAATTTTCACATGCTCAAGAGCCACAAAAACTGCTTTTTCTGCACTTACCCTGACTACATATGACACCATAAAATTAATGTTATGCTCGTCTACCAGCAGTACGACATTTTAGAATTACAGCAAAGTTGCAAATGAAAGTCTTCCCTTTAACTTGCATCTTCAATACATAAAATCAAGTTTAAGGCATACAAAAGAGAAACTTTCAGAAAAACTTGTAGTGCTGCTTTATAACTGGCACTTGTAATTGAGTAAATTTACTCTAGGTGAATCTGGGAGACGTACTGGGACACGCTGTCTCCGCGTACCCACCCTCCTGTAGCCCACGCCTATTTTTCCTTGGGTCATGGAATGTGAAAGCTTAAGCTAAGAGTAAAAGGGGAAGGAGAAAGGGCCTGCAAGCCAGCTCCAATGCAGAAAAAAACCTACATTCCATAAGAAAATAAATTTCAGTTAAGGGAAATTCTAACTTTGACCTGATTTTTTTTTTTCTGTTAAAGCATTGCTGCAAGGGTAAACATGCATTTCCTTCTGTCCTGGGTTTAGCAGTAGCAGTCATTTTTCTCCATCTTAGTACCTGGTGCAGTGCTGTGGTTTTGACTTTCAGTCTGAGAACAGCACTGATAACACTGATTTTTTTAGTTGTTGCCAGTAATGGTTACTCCAACCAAGGGCTTTCGTGGTCTCATGCTCTGCCAGGGAGGAGGGGCATGGGAAATGGGAGAAAGCAGAGACAGGACACCTGACCCAAACCAGCCAAAGGGGTATTCCATACCACAGCACGTCATGCCCAGTATATAAACTGGGTGGGAGTTATCTGGAAGGCCCAGATCGCTGGTCGGGTCGGGTTGGGTGTCAGTGGGTGGTGAGCGGTTGTATTCTCTTCCCTTGTTATTTCCCTTACCATTATTATTATTGGTGGTAGCAGTAGTGGTTTGTGTTATACCTTAGTTACTGGACTGTGCTTATCTCGACCCATGTGAGTTACCTTCTTTAGATTCTCCTCCCCATCCTTCTGGGAGCAGGGGGAGGAAGTAGGGGGAGTGAGCAAGCGGCTGTGTGGTTCTGAGTTACCGGCTGAGCTTAAACCATGACACCTTCATATTGAATAATAGTGGATTTTCAAAATGTTGGATGTAGTCTGAAAGAATTGTGTTTACCTGTTTGGTTTAGACTTTTCACTTGTGGTTTCATGAACCCTTATACCTTTTTAAGAGGAGTAGGTGCTGGCTGCAATACAAAAGAAGTCATAGACAGGCTGAGGTATCTGGAAGCTGAAATTGAAGACCTAGAGCTAAAAGAAAAAGAATTGGATCAGCAGAAACTGTGGCTTCAGCAAAGTATCAAGAATGTCATGGACGATTCTACAAACAACCAATATCCTTTTAAATTAATTCTCTGTATCGTGGAGCTAGAGTTAAAGCAACAGTTAAAGCATAGGTAATCGATAAGGTATCATGTAGTCCCTTTTATCTAGAAGCCAGGAAAGGCAAATACTTTTTTCAGGGTTTTATTCAAAAAGAAAGAACATTCCAAATCTTATTTACATGACCTTTTAACTTCTGTGACCGTATGATTGGTAACCTAAATAAAATTTAGCACATACATACACGCGTGTGTGTATATATACAGTAATTTTTAAGTCCATAGCATAATCCCAGTGTTTTCTGTGAAATTAATTGTACTGGTTTTTGGCACATGAATTTATACTTTCATACCAATGCTTTACATAACTTTGTGTTGCTTCCTTCTTGTGAAAAGATTAATCTATCAGCCAAAGATAAACTGAGTTGAAAAGTCCTGAAGCTTGCTGGGTTTCAGACAAGAAAAAATCCTGCAAGTCAATACCCCATGAGCAGGGAGTTCCAGCTTCATTGCCTGTAACCATGTGTTTAGCTGTCTTGCAAGATACTGAGCAAAATAGGTACCTGAGATTGGAAGCAGGAAAGTGCCCTTCTTAACTATAGCATGGTGAAGAGCACTTAAAAATTACCTGAGTTGCTCTACAGAAACTGTTCCTGTAAAATGGATCTTGTAGCAAAAGAGGTGGAAGTTAGATGTTAGGAGAAACTTTCATGTGGGAGAGCTAGCACTGGATTTGACCCCCCAGGGAGATGGTGGAATATCCATCTCTGGAGGTTTTCCATAAGAGGGGAGGCAAATATCTGTTTGGAATGTCTTTAACAGTTGAACCTAGCTTGAGGCAGAGAAATGAGATGGCAAATTCTCTCTCAAGTCCCCTCTGGCAGTATTTTTGTGAGATTCTGGGAAGTCCTGTTATGTACTTGAATTCTGTAGTGTCATAATTCACTGAGGTAAATGGTATTCTTCCAAACAAGATTTTACATGTTCTCCTTTTTAATTTTTTCTTTTTGTTTTTTCTTCGCAGATACTGATTATTAATTTTTTTTCCCTTAAAAGGCAGAACTCTGCCATTTTTAACTAGCCATTCTGAAAGCAAAATATCATGTCTCAATTGCACCTCTGAGTAACAGCAGTAAGTTTAGAGGTTAGGCTCAGCTTGGACAAATGTCTTTTAAGTGGCAACAAATACTAATTTTTTTGTAGCTTTAAAACAAATGTTCCTTGACATAAATTACGTTCTCATATGTCACTCATGAAGATATCTGCAACTGCTTCAATGGTAAGTTGCTGCTATTTCTTAAAATGAGGGTTTCCCTGACTTTCCTTCTGAAAACTAACTTGCTAATTAGCCTGCTTTTTCCCTTCAAGTATTGTGAATTTAGAAGTACTTAGTAGTGATCAGTACTAATTAGATGTCTCTCATGATGTTCATGACTAGCAAGTTCTAGCATTTTCTAGTTGTAGTCACAGACTGAATGGAATGGAAGTTCATCTGGTTTTGGAGTACTGGTTTCAGAAGTATTTTTCTGTATTCATGCTTCGCAGCAGCTTGTCTCAGGCATTAATGGAGCCAGGAACAGGACATGTTGGTCCAGAACACCATAAAGACAAGGCAGGTCCAAATTTCATAATGTTTTCTGATGGCTGTTGCGGACAAAGGGAGCTCCTGATGATGCTATAGGTGAATGCTATAAATGGAGCCACCTGAAGTTCAGGGATGAGGCATTGCTACTAAATCAAAAGGATTCCTTCTGAACAGGAAGTTTGAAGAAGTTGCCAAGAATTTCTAACAGAAGTTACTTCCCTTGACATCCTCTCTTGATCCTGGGGCACCCAAGGGAAGATTGCTGTTCAGCCTCCAGCTAGGCTCAGAACATCTCTTCTTTGCCACAGGGAAGAAGGGCTTGGTTTTGAATAGAAATGCAAGATCAGACAGCTACTGCAGAGTTTAGCAAAAATGAGCTGTTACTAAAACGAGTTAGTCATTACAAGATGTGGAGGCACTTAGTACACCAGTCACATAGTACTTCATGTAAGTCTCTTAGGAAGCAGAGAAAAGGAAGTGTTATCCCAAGTTCTGGACAAAGGGGAAATGATGTGCAAATAGGCGAGTGACCTGCAGTGTAAGGCAGGTTGTGCCAGTGTTGTTGATGTAACTGTGATCTACTGACTTTAACCACCATGTTTCAGTGTACATAGTAAGCCACAGATGAGTTTGGTAGCCAGCTGATATGTCCCAGTTGTGTGTGCTGCAGAAGCTGTGAGCTTAGACACTTGGAAGTGCTGGCATTGAGACAATCATTAATAACCTTTCTTCCTCCTATTAAAACTCTCTGTACTACCACCACTCTTCAAAGCCATGAAGTGAGCTGGACCAGAGAGCTGGTTTAGCTGAAAAAGGAGCTCATTAAATACTTTCACCTCGGTTTGCATATACAGGTAGGAGATCTGGGGACAGTAACAAACAGGTAAAGGAAGTGGTAAATATTGTACTGCTATGAGAAAAGATTCTTGCAACTATGATTTAAGTACTAGAACTTTGTGATTTATACTATGCAAAATACTTGCATCTAACAGGGACTACGCAGGCCCCACCACAAGTTTATTTATGCTGTAATTATGCAGTATTACAAGTGGCCTTGTAATATCATTTGAGTGGATAGCATGCCAGACTTAAGGAAAATATGCCCACTTAACCCTTTCTTAAACATTGCTATTTAACCAGGAGACACACTTCTAGCAATTCAAGCACCTTGTGGTACACAGTTAGAAGTACCTATACCCGAAATGGTATGTACTGGTTTCTTGTTTACCTAAGTGTTCCAGAGGGACAGTGGAAAAGAAGAGCTACATTAGGCATAATTATCATGAATTGCCTTGAGAACCTTTTTAGCAGCGACTTTTATGTGTCAAATTTCTCTGCTGTATTGTACTCTTAGGAAAAAAATATTTAGATTTAGCAGCAGGTTTAGTTCAGTTTATGTTTAGTGTCATGGTACTAGACTGGATAAACTACAGTCTCAGTTTAAAGGCTTAAATGGGTGAGATTTGGAGGTCAGATTACTTACCTCTGTCCACCTTTACTTTTTTTTTTGTTGTATAATTGGGAGACAGCATTGTATGAGGCATGATAGCCACTATGCTTGTAGAAGGCTAAAATTCACCTGAGAAGTTTGACAAGCTTTTTTAGTGAGGTTGAGTACAGTCTAGTATGGTAAAATCATAGAATCATAGAATAGTTAGGGTTGGAAAGGACCTTAAGATCATCAAGTTCCAACCCCCCTGCCATGGGCAGGGACACCTTGCTCTAAACCATGTCACCCAAGGCCTCGTCCAACCTGGCCTTGAACGCTGCCAGGGGTGGAGCATTCACAAACTCCTTGGGCAACCTATTCCAGTGCCTCACCATCCTAACAGGAAAGAATTTCCTCCTTATATCCAATCTAAACTTCCCCTGTTTAAGTTTTAACCCATTACCCCTTGTCATATCACTACAGTCCCTAATGAAGAGTCCATCCCCAGCATCCCTATAGGCCCCCTTCAGATACTGGAAGGCTGCTATGAGGTCTCCATGCAGCCTTCTCTTCTCCAGGCTGAACAGTCCCAACTTTCTCAGCCAATCTCGTCCAAAGCTAGAACAATTAAGCTAATCAGTGATACTGTCTTTGTCTCTGCTGAAATCTGTTCAGGCAATGGTAAGGTTCTCTGTGGGACCAAAGTTATCAGCTGTGATGTTTTATCTTTAGGGTTTTTTTGGCTTTTTGTTGAGGACTAAACCAGCTGATTTTAGTCTTTGTCATCACATTCAAGCTGGATGTTTTTTGCTTTGGTTCTTCCTTCTCCAAGGCTCCCTTCCCACTTTTCTCATGCTCATTTTTCCTAGAACATATGTGCAGAAAAACAGTTTGCTGAATGAACCACTGTGTAGTCAGTGGTCTCACTGAGTCTGTGCTAGAGGAAGCTAGTCCTAGCTGTGTTGCTTCAGTAACTTGCCCAAAATAAAGCTTGGCATCAGTTAAGAAATTGTTTCTACTGACTTATGATCGTGTGTGCTCTCAGTCTGGGTGAGATAACCAGCTGTTTTAGCATGCTTGGTACTAACCAGCATCATTCTGAAGCTCCATTTAAAAGGAAGAAACATAAATGCACAGAAATCATTGTTCATCATTGCTGTTACTGGTAAGGTGTAGCCTTGCTGTAAGTCTCATGTAAATACAATTCAGTATTTCATTAAGCACTTAACAGAATTGTATGTTTGTGTTCTCTGCAGCTGTGTTTTGGTCAGGTAAATACATTACAGGACAGATAACATGTATTAGTTTTAAATACTTTTTTTTTTCCCCTGAGCATGACTTGATAAGTCTGTGCCAATTCTGAGCTCTCCCTGGTGATGTAACTAGAAGAATATGTTTATGTTCTGTATCACTTTGAGAATTCTGTTCAAACATCTTCATTACTTTCTGTGGGAAGTAACCATGCAGTTACTGTTATATTTTGTAAAGTTAAGCGTTCTCAAGGAATGGTAACTTTCACAAGATACCACCATTGCAGGGACAGAATGGGCAGAAGAAATATCAGATCAATCTTAAAAGTAGTTCAGGACCTATCCATGTGCTGCTTATAAATAAAGAATCAAGCTTCTCCAAGCCCATGGTGTTTCCAGTTCCTCCACCTGATGACCTTGCACAGCCCTCATCACCACCTGAAGCTCCAGCAGCTCCTCTTAAACCTGCTGCAGCTCCTGAGAATCCACCAGAACAACATGATCTGAACCAAGCACAAGAGTTACCAGAAACATCAGTTGTGGACACGCCATCAGGTGGGTCCAGGGTTTTTCCTACCTCACGTGGGTGGTGGGAGGGGAGGGAACTGAGGGGAAGAAGGAAAAGGTGCTAAATGAAGGAAAGATCAAGAATTTGCATAGCGTAGCAGCTGTCTGTTAAGAAACTACCCCAAGGGCTTACTAAGAGCTCTGAAGAGGTTACAGAGAAACCTCTTCCTCTTCTGTCTTGATGAAATAGATTCTTCCCTCGTAGCTTACCGTCTTGTACCAAACAGGTTTTGAATGTGATCCAGTTAATTGTTCAGAGGTGCTTCTCCAGAATGCAGTATGGAAGGAAATTGCCAGCCTCTGACAAGAATATGATTTGAACATGTACCTTTTAATGAGGCAGTTAATACAGGCACCAGTTCCAGTTTTTGTGCCACAAAGTCACTTCCCTTCTTCCACATAGCCACAGTGAGAGAATGTCTGAATATAAGGTATATTTTTCATAATAATAGGGTAATAGGAAAAGATTTAAGAAAATGCTGTCAGTGTCACAGCCTGCATTTCTGATAGGTCCTGATTAACCTTTATCTATTAACCTTCAATTAATTAACAGTTAGTTAAACTATGCCTTTGATTTTGGAAAGGTGAGACTCCTCCTGCCTCATCCCAGACATTAGCCATGTTTGCCTCAAAAGACAAAGCTGTGTGCAGGCGGTCTGTGTTCCCTTTTACCGTAACAGATTCATAATGTGCCTGTCTTTGCAGACGGCAGCACAGAGCAGAACAGTGCAACCCCAGCAGCTCCTTACTCCAGCCTTCCAGAGTCGGTGTTGTACTCCAGCCTTTCAGATGTCGCCCAAGCTACAGCTAGTTCAAACGACTACCAGGGCTTGCTGCCCCTGGATGTTAACTGTATTCTCAAGGCAAACTCATTTGACTTGGCAAAGATGGAGGAGCCCACAGGTAGGAAGCAGTAGTTCCTGTTGAAATATTATTAGTTTCCTAAGCCCTTCTTTGTGACCAAGTTACCAACGAGTTACATAGTGGAAATAACAGGCCTGTTTATCTCCTAGTGAAGCCACTGAGCCAGCTCTGAGTATCAAACTCATTTTGAGCAAAATATCTTTCTCTGCTACCAAATAAGCTTCATGTTGTACACAGCTCTAGGGCTGTAAGGCATTATACCAGTTGTTTAAAGTGGCTGCTATTGAAATGAAGCCTTCAAGGCAGGGTTTGTGAATACTGCCTAAGACATTCAGGAAACTGGGAAAAAAATGAGGGATACAAAGGTGAATACATTTTACATATTGCCATGCCTCCTACACAGCACATGAGCCATACTTGTACTTTGCAATTCAGTGTTTTAATGCAGGGAATATATACTGACTTCCATAAACACATACTTCTGTCTTTCACAGGGATTGGTGGGGATCTTATTGATGAACTCATGTCTTCTGATGGTAAGTATTTAGCATCTTCTTTAATAATCACAAGTAGCAGCATGGGTTTTGTGTGAAGAGCACTCTTAGGTGTTAAATCTGATGCCGAGTCAGTAGGATATTACTTCTCTCCCCTATAAAGCCTCCTCTATCTTTTGTCATTCTTATCTTTGCTCCCCTTTCCATTCCCTGCAACAGTGTTTTTTAAGCAAAACAGTTGTTTTTTAACAACCAAAATATGAAAGTCTTAATCCAGCAAGCACTTACATGCATGAGTAACCCACCAGGCGTTAATTCAGGAACAAGGAAAGAACAGGCTGATGACTAGAGTGCTACCATAAAAAAATAGATCTGGTTTAATTCTCTTCTGCTTCAGGCTTCCTGCAGGTGCTCTGAGTAAACATTTTGGAACATATTGACATGCATGCATGCAGACTGGTAGATGGCACCTTGGTGGCCGTACGAGTGCAGAACTGAGCCACAGCTAGTGAGTTCACATATTCCCTGCCTCTCTGCTCCATCTCATTGAGGTGCCAGGCAAAGAGGTGAACTCAGCTGGTATTGTTCCTCTTGCCCTCTGCTCTGTAAGCAGCCTCTGCTTGCCTTTCAAGCAGACAACCTCAGGGTTTATCCAGAAAGAACCCTGTAATTATAAGATCTGAGGGGCAAAATGGGATTATGTGAATGTGCCAATATATGCCTGGAATGGAAATAGTCTTTGCTTTTAAAGCAGGTACAGCATGCCCAGCTCCTCTGCACTAGGTTAGTGCTCCCTGAGGTACAGCATGGGGGCTGGGCCGTCTTGTCCTGCATTCCGTCCCCAAAGATGGATTGAAGTCCATGCTTGAAATACGGTGCATGGAAAAACTGCTAGCCTCCATTTATTTTTTTTTTATTCCTGTAAAACAGGGATAATTGCAACTTCCTTACTTAAAATGATAAATACTTGACGGATGCTATAGGCGATACTGTAAGGTAAAGAAGGAATGATGGCTTTTAGGTGGAAGTTTCAAAAGCTACTCAGGAACTCCTTTGCTGCAGAAGGAGAAATTAAGTCCTCATTCCACAGGTATCACTCCATTCCAGGAAATTCACTTAAAATACTAAGCAAAACATGTAGACATGTCACTGACTTAGTCTGAATGAAGGCAGTACAGGTATTCACAGTATGTGTCTTAGCATGCTTGTCAGATTATCAAGACTATTTTAATAATTAAGACTAACCCCTGATACTGATGATGACAGACATACTGGATTGTGAGATAGGGCTGATTTTCCAAAGGTGTTTTTAACTTAAACTAAACTATTCCTGCTTTACAGTTTTTCCTCTCTTACGACTCTCTCCTACTCCCGGAGATGACTACAACTTTAACCTGGATGATAATGAAGGAGTCTGTGATCTCTTTGATGTGCAGATACTAAATTATTAGATATTGTGTCAACCAGACTACTTATCTACCTCTAACTATAACATTCTAGACTTCTTCATAACCTACGTATTTTAATAATGAATGTATAACTTCTTAGTTCACTGACTCTGGGAGTTTATTTCCTTTTGCTTCCTTTAACTACTTCACAAAACAAATTTAACAATGAGGAAAAAGGGGCTTTTATCAAAAATTCTGGCACATTTTTTCACCTGTGTGTCCTCTGTGTAATCCAATTATTCAGAGTTTTCTTTAGTAAGAAAGTGAACATGTTCTATAGTCTTCTGAGCATTTTTCAAAAATGATTAGGCTTCTTGCTCACAGTTAATAGTGTTTTCTTTGAAGCTTTACTGCCTAGAAGCTTTCTGTATTTTAACCTTTCAAACAATTCTGAAGCTTTCACTGCCAAGCTGAAAAGTGAAGGACATCACCTCGAGTTATGCTAAATTGTTTCAGTGAACCAATTTTGTGAAGTGCCTTCTGTTTTAGCACTTTAAGTTTCTCACACTGACTTCTGACATTCCTCTTTCCTAGATGATAGGAAAGGTCTGTTTGTAGTTTGTATTAAAGTGTGCCAATACTTGTATATTAACAAGATTTTTTAATAAAATTGTACAAACAAAGCTTATCAGTATTTCTTATCTTGATTTCTTGCAATCCCTTCATTGTCCATTATGCATCACAACTGAGATAATAAGCTTGTGGCAGCATCCACGTTTACTGGTTCCTCTTCCACATTTGTGGAAACCTGAAAAAAAAAAACAACCACCAAGTTTGGGTTTAAAGTACAAAGCAATTTACTCTGGGGGAAAAAAAGCCACTAATAAATACCTGTTGTCCAGAAGATTAGTCTGTCTTTATGTGTTTAATTTAGGCTAGTATTGCAGTCATAATTCAGTAGTTTGGAGGAAACCAGGATTCACTACACTTGACAGAGCAGCAGCCAATACTTTATGCTGCAGGAGAAAGACAAAAGCATCATGCCAGCAATGGCCAAATGAAAATAGGCTCAGCTTTTAGTTCTGAAGTGCTCTTGACAACACTCTTGCAACTTTGGAGGAAATACTATTATAGCCCAAGCAATCAGATTGAGTGTTAGGTCACATACAGCCCTACAGGCACAGGAGCAATGGTGTAGTCTGAATTCCTGCCTGCATGCGGTAACAAGTGAGCAGGGACAGGGCTGCTGGCACCAACTGCCTTGAAACACTTGCTTGGCCTCACCTGTGCTGGCAGCACTGTCATCTATGTTTACTTTTACTCAGCCTCTCCTTAAGGTATCTGACACTAGTTTTGTCACTCCCAGCCATACAGAAACTTGATTACCCCAGGCACAGTAAATAATACTCAACTCATGTCTACTTCTCACAACACCTGGGGTGGATTCGTCTGTACTTCATCCTGGCCCACTGCTTCCTCTCTCCCCCAACCCATGCCCAGACCATCAGAGTCACAGAGGAGTTTGTCAGCAGTTAAGTTCTGTGAATTATTTCTTGCACAAGACTGCACGTAGCCCTGTTTAAAGGACTAGATAAAGGAAGACAAGTGAAACACTGTCTTGAACCCTAAATGCTGCAGGCAAGAGCTTGTCATGGTTTAAGCCCAGCTGGTAACTCAGAACCACATAGAAATGTCTCTTTCAGGTGTTGATACTTCTGATGAGGGAATATGAAGGCTTAGGAATTAGGAACAGAGAGAGGCAGAGCTGGTTCAGAGCACTATCAGGTGCTTCAGGTAGGGAACAAGGTTTATCCTTACTTTCTGTGTCTAGTCATGTTGCAAAGTAAGTCTCAGAACAAGGACCTGGAGCTGAAGTTAACTTAAAAAAAAATCAAAAAATAGAACATAATTTAAAAATATGTTTTTGGAAGCATGCTCCAGCTTGGCTACCCACCCTCTTCTCGCTTTACTTTGGTAGTTATAAAGCACTTGAAAATGCTAATGAGATTTCAAAATTACCACACCACTGGAATTAATAAAACTGAGTTTATAGCTTTAAAGCAACTGCATGAATTGCCTGCAGTCTTAAGAGCCAGGATATTGGGCCCATTGCAGGAGAGGATCTGGTTCGAGACCATCTTAAAAACCTGAACATGCAAAAGTCCCTGGGTTCTGATGAAATCCTTGCGTGGGTCCTGAAGGAGCTGACAAATGAAGTTGCTAAGCCACTGGCCATCATATTTGAAAAATCATGGCAGTCAGGTGAAGTTCCTGACGACTGGAAAAAGGGAAATAAAACCCCCATTTTCAAGAAGGGGAAAATGGATGACCCAGGGAATTACAGACCAGTCAGTCTCACCTCTGTGCCTGGCAAAATCTTGGAGCAGATTCTCCTGGAAGGCATGCTAAGGCACATGAAAATCAACAAGGTGCTTGGTGATAGCCAGCACGGCTTCACCAAGGGGAAGTCCTGCCTGACCAATTTGGTGGCCTTCTATGATGGGGCTACGGAACTGATGGACAGCAGTAGAGCAGTTGATGTCATCTACCTGGACTTGTGCAAAGCATTTGACACTATCCCACACGACATCCTGGTCTCTAAAATGGAGACACCAATTTGATAGGTGAACCACTAAGTGGATAAAGAACTGGCTGGATGGCCACACACAAAGAGTTGTGGTCAATGGCTCAATGTCCAGCTGGAGACCAGTAACGAATGGTGTCCCTCAGGGATCGGTGTTGGGACCGGTCTTGTTCAACATCTTTGTGGCTGACATGGACAGTGGGATTGAGTGCGCCCTCAGCAAGTTTGCCAATGACACCAAGCTGTGTGGTTCGGTTGATACGCTTGAGGGAAGGAATGCCATCCAGAGGGACCCTGACACACTTGTGAGGTGGGCTGATGCCAATGTTATGAAGTTTAACCATGCCAAGTGCAAGGTCCTACACCTGGGTTGGAGCAATCCCAGACACAGCTACAGGTTGGGGAAAGAGATTCAGAGCAGCCCTGTGGAGAAGGACTTGGGTGTCCTGGTCGATGAGAAAATGAACATGAGCCGGCAGTGTGTGCTTGCAGCCCAGAAAGCCAACCGTATCCTGGGCTGCATCAAAAGGAGCATGACCAGCAGGTCAAAGGAGGTGATCCTGCCCCTCTGCTCTTGTGAGACCTCACCTGGAGTATTGTGTGAAGTTCTGGTGTCCTCAACATAAAAAGGACATGGAACTGTTGGAACAAGTCCAGAGGAGGGCCACGAGAATGATCAGGGGACTGGAGCACCTCCCATATGAAGATAGGCTGAGAAAGTTGGGGCTGTTCAGACTGGAGAAGAGAAGGCTGCATGGAGACCTCATAGCAGCCTTCCAGTATCTGAAGGGGGCCTATAGGGATGCTGGGGAGGGCCTCTTCATTAGGGACTGTAGTGATAGGACAAGGGGTAATTGGTTAAAACTTAAACAGGGGAAGTTTAGATTGGATATAAGAAGGAAATTCTTTCCTGTTAGGGTGGTGAGGCACTGGAATAGGTTGCCCAAGGAGGTTGTGAATGCTCCATCCCTAGCAGTGTTCAAGGCCAGGTTGGACGAGGCCTTGGGTGATATGGTTTAGAGCGAGGTGTCCCTGCCCATGGCATGGGGGTTGGAACTAGATGATCTTAAGGTCCTTTCCAACCCTAACTATTCCATGATTCTATGATCTAGTGCTTTGAATATATACATTCCTTTCCTTTCCTTCCTCAGATTTTTACAAAGGGAAATTACCTCATGACTCTTCTCAGGTTCTGCTGCTGTGCCTTTTGATATCTGCTGTATTTCTTTCTGGACTTCAGCAAATGCTTTATTTATTGTGTTAACTTTCTCAGCATTCTTAATGTTTATCTGGGAAGAAAAAAAAACCCACATTGGTATTTTTAACAGGAATTCCACTGACATGTGAAACTGCACCATTTTTATACAACTATTACACAGCAAGTCTTACACGTGTATCTTCCAGAATTACTTTTTAGTAGGTGTTTTTGTTACGCAATTGTATCATCCAGTCATGTACTACTAACGTTCTAATAAGCTGAAAATGATGAAACCAGTCAAACTTGTTCTATTGGAAATGGAGCCCACAGTGATCCAGAAACAGAACACAGAAAACAAAAGCCACAGTGTAGACAGGCCCTGTGATGCCATCCTCAGCTCCTCTTAGCTGGACTGGAGTTGCAGAAAAGGTTCCTTCCTTCATTCATGTGGTGTGTTGACCCTGGCTGGATGCCAGATGCCCACCAAAGCCACACTATCACTCCCCTCCTCAGCTGGATGGGAGAGAACATACAATGAAAGGCTCGTGGGTTGAGATAAGGACAGGGAGAGATCACTCACCAGTTACCTTCACAGGCAAAACAGGCTCGATTTGGGGGAAAAGTAATTTTATTTATTAAATTATTACATTTCAAATGTTCTAGAAGCACACTCATACATCTTCAGGCAAGCCCGTATTTCAGGATACTACTGCTGTTCCATAGCCTACCCCTGTAATTCACCTCTCAGCAATTTACATAGATAGAAGCAAACTGTGAATGGTGACACGTATTCATTTTGCTTTCAAAGCTTTTGTAATTTCAGAGCATGTATTCCATTCCACTAATCCCATTTATTCTGAGTCATCAAGATAACCAGTAGTAAGAAAGCAGTGGCAAGAGGCTGATAAGAAAAGCCTGCTCAGGTTAGCAATTCAATTCATAATAATCTGGAGTCTGACCCAAGAAATACAGACTCAGTTCCTAGCTCAGACCAGTGGGTGGGCTGTGGGCAACACGATTTACAAAGATCTCAGGTTGCCCACTAGGGCTTGCTACTGTTTTCCAGCTTCACAGAGGTGCTGGAACAATCCAGTCAGTTTTAATACCTGATATCCTCAGCTACTGTGGCAGGACCCCTTCACAGAAAGAGGCTCTACAGCTAGCATGTGTATATCAAAAGTTGTTTGGGCTTTTATCTGTTAAAGAAGAAACCCATTATAACAAATTTTTCTGAACATCTTCCTAAACTGGTTATAGTAAGTAAATCCCCAAAGGCTTAATGAATTAAAGAATACAGCTTCAAACACACAGAATAAAATTTTACTCCTAATAAGCCTACTGACTTTTCATGAATATGTTTTTTAAACCTGTTTCTCCCTTTTATTATACAGAACCCTCTAGACTAAGTGAGGATGTGGTGCCATCAACATGAAATTGTTTACTTCCAAAGTTTGTTAAGCTCCAGTCCGTCTACCACATGAATTTGTCAAGAGGCTTTAGCTTGCAGGAGAAAATCTGAAAGGGTGTTTTTTTAGAGCTCCTGTTTAACTTGGTTTGCCCAGCACACTGCCACTAAATCTAATGGGAACAATAAGCTACTAAGTTTCTACTTATATTATCACATGCCTTTCCAGAAGCACCAGCTGAACTGTCAGCAGATCACACAGCTCAGGCTGGAGGCAGTTTCTGAGAAGCAGATGCTGTATAATAACTTGCTGGCTAGCAAGAGGAAAATTCTGGCTTAGATCATCCCCCATCCCTTTTCCCCTGCATTGCTCCCAGCCACACGGCCCACTCATTCCTCTTTATTCCCTTCCATAATACAAAATCAGAGAGTATTATTTTTGCTAGTTTTCGCTTTAGAAAGGCGCAGGAAGGCCTTTCCTTAGCTGTATCTGTGCCTGGTGGTTTGGGTCAAGACATCTTGGTGAAGCGTGCCCTAAATTACACCGTCAGTGACGGTGCAAGTAAACATAACCTCACCTAACTACTGACGTTGTCTTTAGCATCCCACTCCCTGGGGCACACCGAGGTGCTATCGGGTACTTTATAAATGACCCCCCGCTCCCCCTCCCCCCAGGAGAACAGCTTTAAGCCTTATGTGGCAGAAGCTTGCAGGACATGAGTCACATAAACTGCGCTTCTCTGAAGACTAGATGCTCTCAACGGTGCCTTCCAAAGCCAAACATTACATGATTCTATGATAGCATCCACACATAAACCCTATTTTCGGGTGGAAACGGTGTACTCCGCCACTCCGTGGCCCAGACGAGCTCTGTCCATGAACCACCTCAGTCACAAGAGCTCCGCAGGGCAGGCCCCAGAGGAGGAAGGGCCGCATCCGCCCGGCCCGGCCCGACCCGGCGGCAGCCCTGCGGCAAACCCCCCCCCACGACAAACCCCTCGCGCCCCACGCCGCTCACCTGCTTCAGCCCGGAGGTGACGGGCCGCGCCCTGCCCTTGCCTTTGCCCTTGGCCTTGGCGGCGGCGGCGCTACGAGCGATACGGAACACGTTTGTCGCCTTGGCCGACCGCGACCGGCTCTTCCCCATAGCGGAGGCACCGCGAGGGCGGACGGGCAGTGACGTCACTCCCGCGCGCCAGGGAAGCCTCGAATCCCACACCCCACACCCCCCCCGCACCGCTGTCATTGCGCGGCAATCCCGCGCAGAGCCGCCAGGTGGCGTTCCGCCACCCCGTTCCCACACTCCTGCGCCTCGGACCCACGGCTGCGACGCGTCCCCGTCCCTGTTCCGTCCCGTGCCCTCCCCCGTCTCTACGTGGGCTCCCCCGTTGCCCTGCCGGTCCTCGCCGCTGTGACTGCTGCCCGCCGAGCACTGCCTGACGGTTCCCCAGTGCGAGGTTTAAAAAGAAACAGTAAAAAATTCGGGTGGGTTGTGGGAAACCACCTGTCTTACGGGCCCCGTCTGCAAAACGTGAACCTTCTTACGGCTAATTCCAAAGGGAACTGGCTTCGCTACCCTCGGGGTAAGGCGGGAGGTGAACTCAGGGGCCGCCTGGCAGCTGTGCGTGCTTTGCTACACTCTTGGGTCTGGAGGTGACCCCAGCAACAGGCACTGATGTCCCCGTCTCTCCCCGACGCACAAATCGAGGCAGTGGCGGAGAGGCAGCACTTCTCTATTGAAGCGGTCCCCCGCTGCCCGCTTAGACGGCACGGCGCTGCGCTGAGGGGCGGCGAAGGGCCTGAGGCGAGAGCCGGCGCGGTGGAGCCAGGGGAGCTGGGGCCGGGCTAGGCGGGCGCGAAGCACTGCAGGCTTCTTATCGGCTCCCCATCGGGGCGTCACCTCCCGTCGCCTTCAAAGCGGGCGGCGGTGACGGGGCGGCTGCATCTCCCGTTCCAGCCCGTACTGGCCCGTCCCATCCCGCAGCAGCCGGCGAGCAGAGCCATGCTGCACTGGGGATACGATGAGCACAACGGTAACGCAGCGGACGGGCGGCGGGGGGGGTGGGGTGGGGGACCGGGAGTGGCCGCAGTGCTTCCACCGGTGCCGTCGGGGCGGCCGGTGCGGCAGCGGGCAGTGGGACCGCCCCAGGGCACCTCCCGAGCCCGTGAGAGCGCTGAGTGAGCTGAGAAACGAAATGCTGCCGGGGCTTCCAAGCGTGAGACCGGGCAAGTTTTGTCTCGGAGTGATGCACGGCTGGCTGCTGCGAGGGGCGTTGGGGCGTGCAGCATTGCCCACGGGAGTCGGGTCGGGGGCTGGCTCTGCCTCATCCGCTGCACGGATTTCGTTTGCTCCCGTAGTTACCAGTTTCCTGTACATACTGGGTATTTATTGAACAGTCACACTGGTGGGACCTGCTGTATTATCGGCATTGCCTCGCTGATTCAGGGTACCATCTGCTGCTGTTACACGGTGGGAAACACTAAGGACTAGGATTGGTCATTTGAATGTATAACTACGCACCTAAGAGGAGATGCTTTTGGATTTTAGTTGTTTCATGGTTTCCTTAATCTTGTTGGTCTTTGAAGTCCCAAGATGTGCTCATCAACAGGTTTAAAGACTTTGCTCTGTTTTGCATTGTAAGTCATGCAAACGCTGCTCTGGTGTGCAGACCAGCTCACAAGCCATGCAAGTAGAAATGAAAGTGCTTTTGTAAATTCGAGACTCAGCTTTGATAAAATGAATAACTTATACTGTCTGCTATAATACACAGACAAATAAACCACCATGGTACTAAGAGGATAAAGCTATATATTTGCATATACTAACGCCAATAGGAGTATGCTTTGTGTATATTATTACTTAAGAGTTTGGAATACTGTTTGTGCTGCCTTTCCTGCCTGGCCCTTTTGTTCCATATTTTCTGGATGGATGCACTTTTCCTGAAAAACTGGGTGGTGGTTGATCACAGCGATGTTGCAATGATTAGGTGTGTTATCTGCTTTTGTGCAGTGTACTCTACCCCTCCTCTGAAGACGTAAATGGGGCTTGTTTTTCAAATTTGTTTCTCCGTATGTTTTCCAAGAGTGCTGTAAACTTCACCTGCACTGTCCAGATAAGAAGCCCATTTTCCCTCCCCTTATACTACCCCTGCTCCTTTGCTATTCTCAAATTCTAGGAAGGGGAGGGCACAACAATGTCTATCAGGGTAGCCCTGGACCTTGGTTGAGGCCCCATTTATTCTATAAAACTCTGTTTACTGGTTGATAACATATTTGGGGTGGAGTTTGGCTTTCTCTCTCTTCTTTTGGAGCCCCCAGCAGCTGTGGGGTGGATAGTTCCTCATCAGTTCATCCCATTCCCACCACCTCTCACAAGGGTCTAAAGGAGAGAGCCATAAACAGCCAACACTTACTGCTCTTCCCCAGGATCAGTTTTATTTCTCATCTTTTTCTTTTTTTTTTTATGCATTTATTTTATTGCTTTTGCTTGTTTCTTGCTTGGCTGAATAGCAGATGCAGGACATTTCTCTGATTCTTGAAACATTTTATTGCCCTGCATGGCCCTGAAAATAGTTTCCCTGAAACAAAGATTACATTTTGCAACTAATGAGTCAGAAACCAAGTGAAATTAATTACATGTGATGCAGTCAGATATTAAAGCTGACTTCCTGAAGAGTTGGAAAGACATCTGCATTCACTCAGACTTGTACATTTGCAGTGATAAAAGCTCTGGGTTTTTTTTTAAACTGGGGGAAAACTCATTTGCCCCTTAGCAATAACTGCAACATATATCATGATGTGCATAAGCTGTCAAATATTACACATACATGTCTGCCTATATGGTATATCTATGTATAAGGATATGAGCTGACTGTTATACACAGAATGAAGTGTTGTGGTGGATTGAGGATGACTGGACATCAGATGCCCACCATAGCTGCTCTGTCACTCCCTAGGGACAGATCACTCACCAATTACCATCATGGGCAAAACAGTCTCAACTTGGGAAAAGAATAATTTCATATATTACCTATCAAATAAGAGTAGGGTAATGAGAAATAAAACCAAATCTTATAACATCTTCTTCCCACCCCTCCCTTCTTCCTGGGCTCAACTTGACTCGCAATTTTCTTTAGTGTCTCTACACTGGGAGCTGTCTGGTGTTACTACATTGGACATAGGGGAGGCTTCTGGCACCTTCTTACAGCCCCTCTGCTACTAAAACCTTGCCACATAAACCCAGTATAAATGTTCTCCCCTTCTTTGGGACCATGTTTCTGTATAACCTTGGCCTTTGCTTCCTGCCACCATCCTTACGTCACAGTTTTGATGGTGCTTCTGTGTGGAGGCTTAATATTGATGTCTTGAAAGATGTCTTTTGTGAGGCATTATGCATGCTTTTCTTTGCTGCCCAAGGTTCCTGTATAAAGGGGAATGTTATCACCCCTTCACAGAAACAGTCCTTTTAGTTAACTGAAGAATTGGCGTAGTTAAAAGACAAATCAAGAATCAATTGCTTTCAGTTTAATATTTGTTTAATAAAATGTATGTATGTAAAACACATATATTGTGGTTTACTGCAAAATATCTCTGGATCTAATTACTACTGTATCACTGAGACGCTTTATAAATAAAAAGGGATATGAATTCATCGAACTATTCAGGTTGGAAAAGACCTTTAAAAGCATTGATGCCAACTGTAATTACTTATACTATTTATTTCTCCCTGAGAATAATTACATGGTCCTGATGTCTGCTTTTAAAACAGCACTTAATTATTACCTATTATGAACTGTAATTTTTTTTTGTATTTGAGCTAATCCTAATGTAACCTAATATGCAACTAAATTACTTGCAAACCTAACTTTGTAAGTTTAAATATTTTGTATATGATAATGTGAGCAATGCATTCCCTTTAGGAATAAACACGGATGTGATCCTGTATGTAGCCTGCAGACTAATGAACTTTCTGCGTGTAATAGCAAACTAAAAAAAAGAATCCACTTTTTCACCTGTAAGTGCTCTATTATGCAAGTATAGAGGCTCACTGCAACTGAACCGTATCCTGCGATGTCTCTGATAGACTTGTTTAGACTAAGTCTATCCTTTTGATGAAACTTCTCATCTTTAACTCTAGCTGGATAAAAAAGCACTGCTGTTAAATGCTATAGTGAGTTCTATTTCCTGACAAGTTCGTAGCTGCCTTCATTATGAGATCTGTTTCAGTAACTGAGTGTGTGCAATGCTGGTGGGAATCATAAATATGATCATCTGATCTAAAAGTGACTAGGATGTTCATTGTATTTGGTTAATTCTGTGTCCAAAGGCATGCAGTCTTCAGTGCAGATGGTTTGGGGATTTTTTGTCCTAAATGTTGGTCACAATGGCTTTGATTGTTAAGAGCTATGAGGTGATGTCTAGCAACAGAGCACTTTCCATAAATTCAAAATTGACATTTATTAAGCAGATTCCTTTGGTAAATTAAATAATTAAGGGAGCTGAATTAGTGAGTACTTTCCTAGGTATGTCTTAATGTACATATCTAGAACATGAAAGTGTACATTATGTTGAGATGGAGGAATGTAACTTAGGTCCAAACTCAGAAGACATTTTCATCCTGGATTCCCCATTGGCTTAAACTTGATTGTACGATATGCAAAATATGATTTTGGTCATTCAAGCTAAGGACAAGTAAAAAAGCAGGTACAATGTCTTTTTAGAACTTTGTAGAAGTTTATTGTCAAATAACTAGTTAATGACAGAATCACAGCCTTGGGTCCTCCTTTTGGCACATTCATATTATTTCTGCGTGCAAATCATTCACATTATTTAATATACAATAGCTAGTTATTTCTGGGGTGGAGAAATAGGACCGAGTAGTTATGCACATAAACATATTTTGCCTTTCCTCAGTTAAGGAAAACCTGAAACATTAAGTAGCAATAAGGTTTTTCTAAGCATCCCAGATCACAATAATTAGGTATGAACAATGCAGTGGTGCTGATTGTGAATAAAATTGTGCATTGCATCTCTAACTACAGGGTACTAGGACCAAAATTAAAATTATATCATATGCTAAACTGTACATAATTAAAATACTGAATAGCTTTGATGACCATTGTAAAGTGTGAAGAATTAAGTTTAAACAGCTTTATATTATATATATATATCTTCAAACCAGTAGGATTTATATATTCTGCTATAGAAGCAGCTTCCTTCATGATTTTAGTTAATAAAGGCATTAACAAAAAGACTTTTTAATGAAGTCATGACAGAAGACCCTTGCCTTTGTTCTACCTGAGGTTTAAGTCTTAGGCTGGTCTTTACAAGCTTCTTCTTCTTTTTTCCATTTTTCAGTGTTGCCTGGAGGAGAATCAGTCTCTGCCCAGGTGGCTGCTGCCGTGGGGCACTTCCCATCATGATTTACTGCCAGGGTGCTTGTGTTATTTTAGCACCTGTGAATTTCTGAGCTATGTTCTCTTCTATTGAAGTCAAGGAGAGAAAGCTATCTATCAACTTTTGATGTTAGGATATTAATCACAGTGTGACACATTTTAATCCCTTTTTTTATCATGTTTATTTAAGCACTGAGCCATCCAGAAAAACCCAAGCCAGAGATCAGTCACCTTCAGTGTAGGGAGTTACAAGGATTTCCAGTGAGGCAGATTTTACAAGATCAGCTTCTGATGCTCATAATTAAGTGTTTATTATATTCAGTCTTTCTTAGTTGATTTATTATGCTTCTTACCCATGACAAGACTGGAGGAAAGACAAGTGCTATGCTCTTTATAATACTGAAAGATCATCAGCTATGCAGGCTTTCCACTTTTCCCTTACCTTACCCTCTTTCCTCTTTCCTTGTTTGATGTCTTTAGTTTATAAAATATGTTTCACAAGCAACTCATTGTTCCCATTTTTCTTCTATGGCCCCTTTCTGCACTGTCTATTATTCAAATATAATTCAACAATGGCACATATATTTTTATTGAGAACTCTCAGATGTTTAGTAGATAAGAACAGACACCTCACACATCTCATCAATGAAGCTTTTGTTGCCATTTTAGAATGACATTTGCCATTTTTCTTATATACATGTTGCTTATCTACAGAGATTAAGCTTTTCAGCTGACCTGTGGCTTAGCTTTCATGGAGGGAGGACAAGTAACTCAGAGCTAATGGATTGGGAGGAGGTGACTGACCAGCAATGCTTAGGGTACGGGCACAACTACCAGGCTTCAGGATGCCATGCACCACTTGGCCTTTTTATCAACATCTCGCCATCCCAGTCTGCATAGTCAGTGGAAGATGTGTTCTCAGGTCTTTTGCATCCAATGACTAATGTATTAAAAAAAATCTTAATGCAGGGATTTTGGATACGTAAGAGGTAAATCCTTTAAGACATCATAAGTCATGATACTAGGCAAAAATGGCATGTCAGAAATTTATTGGGGCACAGTGCCTGTTGGATACAGGATGCCTGATTTGAATGAGCATCTGTTGGATATGTCTTGTGCATAGTTGAGTCTTAATTGTGAATAATTAAGTATCTACCTACTGCATCTGGCCTTGTTCAAAGGCCAAATGTAGTTAGATACACCATGTAAGGTAGATAAAGGGGTCCTGAGAGCTGCTGCTGTGGTGTGGTGCAGCAAAAATAGCTGAATATTTTGATCCTTGTTTTTCTGACGTGCCCTTTTTGTATATAAGAGATGCAAACAAGAACAATCCAAACTGAGTTTTCTTTCATATGAAGGGCACTGCCATCAATTTAGACTTCTCCTCCAATGCGTTGCAGGGCCTGCCCACTGGAAAGAAGTTTTTCCTGTTGCCAATGGAGACCGTCAGTCACCCATTGACATCAAAACTGAGGAAACGAAGTATGACCCCTCACTCCGTTCTCTAAATCCCAATTACGATCCGGCTTCTGCTAAAATCATCCTTAACAATGGGCACTCCACCAGTGTTGAGTTTGATGACAGCGTCAACAGATCAGGTTAGTTCCTTTCCTGTTGCACTGTGTCTTCTTCCACTGTTTCCTGCATAGAGTACATACAGCCTGGGCATGTCTCACAGCTGAATATAAACTCCTCATTAACAGTAAGGCATTACTTCTCCAGATGAGAGTTTCCCTTTTTTTCCCTGGCTTTCAGCATGATGCAATGTAGGAACGTATTTGGACATGAGTACGAGGTTGTGTTTCTCAGAATGTGCTAGGATTCCTTTTTCACAGGGCTGGTTTGATGCACCCCAACCAACTAGATAGTGCCAGCCCCCTGTTTGAACAGTGTTGTGTGCAATTTTTCAAATGCTGCTGTCTCTCACTGCAGATGAATCCTTTGTGTCTCATTACAGGTTCATTCCAACCGAATCACTCATGTCTCTTACCTGACTTTAGCTGCAAGTTTGGTTTTTTTTTTTTTTTTGTTTTTTTTTTTCATTTTTGCAATCCATACCTCGACATTTTGTATCAGGAAAGAGCTAATACAGAACAAATGAAATATACTTCAAGTGATCCCCTTTCTTTTCTGTAAAGTTTTATTGCACCAGTCTTTTCTAGGAGTATGTAGCTTCCCTTTCTGAAAGCAACAATTCTTATTTAGAAGTTCTGTGATTTAACACAGTCTTTGAAATCAGTTAGTGCCTTCATCTTTAAAGCCTTCTCTTGAATGGTAGGCAAGCTAGCACACCTCCCCTTGAATGTGCAGGGGTGCAGATTCTTAAACAGTATAATCCTCTTGTGGTTGTGTGAGGCTTAGCTGAGGACCCAAGCTCATGTGATGCTTTCACAAGGGTCGATGCTAGAAGAGGACTAATTTGTGATAACCCTGTCCATTAGTCTGAGGACCTATTAGCTTGTAGTGGCAACAGGGAGAGACCTAGATTGAGACACCATCATACTTTGCTTTCATGGACAGTCTAAGGTTAATTCTTGAATTTCCTGTTGACACAAGCAACATTGGATGTTGCCTGAAAGCCATCAGCTGACCATCAGTGATCTGATCTGACCTCGTGTGTGTCAGATGCCACAGTACTTCCCAGAATTAATCTCTGCTTCAAGCCTAGTAGGCATGGGTGAACTAAAGCACATCTCTTAGAAAAACATACAATCTTGATTTCAAAATTGCCAGCGATGAAGAACCTACCACATCCTTTGGTAAGTTGTTCTAATTGTTAATTACTCTCACAAGTAAAGCAATGGAAATCACACTTTATTTTAGTGTAATTTGGACCAACTCAGCCTTTAAGCTACTTTTCTTTTGTTGGTTTTGTTTGTTTGTTTAATAAAAAGTAACAAATATGAATACACCAAGAACCTCTTCACCTTCTAACTCCATATTTGAAGTGACAGGGCCTTAACACAGTATTTCTCTAGGCTTACATGGGTATCAAAACAGTGGTAATGTGATCCTCTTCTTACTGACAGATGTTGATCAGATAATTAGTAAATGTAATCCCCTGTCTCCTGTCTGTGTCTTCTGTGTATGGACTAGATTGTTCAGTCCACATAAATGCCTGTACCTTTGGGGCGTTGTTATGCTTTACTTATCAAAGAATTCAAATTCTTCTGTATTCATAAACTGAGTTATTCACTATTTTCCCTAATATTTGTCACTGACAAACTTTATTAGTAATGTTTTTGTTTTCTTTCAGGTCATTGATCAAAAAATACTGAATTTTCTAGGGCCAAAATTTGGCCTCTGGGGCACCCCTGTGAAGTAAGAACACCTGACATATGTTGGTTTAATGAAAAAAAAAAAAAAGAAATCAAATTAATTGGTAAAATTTTTCATGTTAAATGCATTAGCATCTTTTAATGCATAATTAACTGGGTTCCATATGAACTATTTCTTTGCCTTGGCCAGCACTGAAATTGGGCTGTCAAGTCTGTAACTGTTTGTATAATTTGTTTATCCTCTTTGGTACCACATTCTCTGAAATTGGTCTGTTGATATTTCAAAGACCTCTTTTTTCCAGCCCTTTTAAAACTTTGAGATAATGATATTTGCCTTAAATAGCTTCTGACTAACCTCTTCCTTAATTACTGTTGTAATGGAAGGGTTTTACCATTGATAGTGATGTGGCACAAATAGATCATCAGGCCATTTTCCACCTTTTTCAGCAGTATTTTGTTGAATGCTGATGAATTACTATGTAATTGTTTTCCCTCAACCAATTAGAACACTAGTCTTTACACATTTCTAGGATCATTTGTCTCCAAGTTTTCAATCCTAGAAAGAAGGAATTTGTTTTAGGAGTGCCACTTCCACATCCCCTTTGTCCACTGGGTTTGTAGGCTCTGTAAAAGCATGGTTCTGAGTTGAAGTTTTAAGGAGCTCATATACTTTTCTCCACAGATAAACAGTTCCAGTTCCTTCTAATTAGCCAGGCTACTTGTGTTAGCAGAGAGGCAACAAAGTTCAGGCTTTTAGAAGAGAGGAAAACTTACTGTTGTCCCTCCCATTGCTCTTAATTTAAAATCTGTCTAGTTAAAGCTCCCCTCCTTTTCCCTTAAGGTCTCTATAATGAGCCAGTAAACCCACCCAGAATAATTCCCAAGCCCTCAAAGGAAATGTGGAGCCAGGAGAGTGAGGTCCTTTGATTTGCAGTGAATAAGGAATCTTTCTGAATGTGATTCACATTCAAGTCTCTGTGCAGAAATTGTTTGGTTCCAACTGTGCTTAGCAAAAGACAAATACTTCCAAAAGCAAAATAATGAAAAGCCCACCCATTGGCTGTTAGGTAGAACAGAAGAGAACAGAATAGAATTAATATTTCAGTTGGAAGGGACCTATAACAGTCATGTAGTCCAACTGCCTGACCAGTTCAGGGCTGACCATGTTAAAGCATGCTGTTAAGGGCATTGTCCAAATGCCTCTTAAACGTTGACAGGCTTGGGACATCAGCCACCTCTATAGGCCTGTTCTAGTGTTTTACCAGCCTCTTAGTAAAGAAATGCTGCCTAATGCCACGTCTAAGTCTCCCCTGGCACAGCTTTGAACCATTCCCATGTGTCCCACCACTGGATGTCAGGGAGAAGAGATCAGCACGTCCTTCTCCACTTCTACTCCTCAGGGAGGTGTAGAGATCGGTGAGGTTGCTCTTCAGCCTCCTTTTCTTGAAACTAAACAAGCTCAAAGTCCTTAGCTGCTACTCGTAGGCCATTCCTTCCAGCCATGGCTAATTAAACATCTGTAATATTGAAGTTGTACAATGCTACAATGCATATATAGTGTAGACTTCATTTTATGTATGCTAATAAATGCTCCTTTTTCTCAGACTTAAATCTGACATAACTGCATCTATTTGCAAATGAAGGAAAGAGCCTTGAAATTTTTTTGCTTTCCTCCAAAATTTCAAAGAGGAGAAGAAATTATGTTCACCTTGTATTTTTCTGATCCTCCCCTTTATTCATAAAACCTATATTTTAAGCTTAATTTCTTCATGATTCTAAGTACTTTCAAGAGAGGAAACCACTTGCAAAATAGACATATTTTCCCATCTTTGGAGAAATATCCAACCCTGGATAAGCAAGATAAACTTGGTGACAACGGTATTCCCTTTAGTGGGCAATAACCCACTAATCTTCTACACATAAGTGCACTTTAAAAAGTCATATCCTGGACAAATGAGGGTTTCTGTAGTACTTCGAAGAAATGGGAAACCATCAAGAAGGAGTAGGGAGTTGTCCGAAGAGTGAAGTCTGTGTCGGGTTAGAGGATGTGGGTAGTAGCTTCTGTTCCTGCAATGAAGCCTCTTCATCTGTTTGGGTTTCCAGTGCTGACTGGGGGACCACTCATCGGGACCTACAGGCTGCGCCAGATTCACTTCCACTGGGGATCCAATGATGAAGCCGGCTCTGAGCACACAGTGGATGGGATGAAGTATGCGGCAGAGGTAAGGCTTTAAATGGCATCATCTGTACCTCTAAGCTAGTGACTAGTTTTCCATTGTAAATATAATCTTGCCCCTCCTCTTCCTGCTTTCCATTCTCCCCCCGTTTTATTGAAAGACAAGTGGTCTTCCTGAAGTGTTGCATGTTTGGGCCTTTCTCAAAGGAGAACCCATTTGAAAGCTTTGGAGAGGATTAAAAAAGGAGTACAGAAGACAAGAGCTTGATAAAAGCAAGATTTAATGTTCAAGAGTTATTTTAAACTTTGTCTTTCACTGTGTCTTCCTTGAAGAATCTTTTCAAAGTCAGCTTCCATTACAAACCACAGAATTATTTGATTTGGGGTCTGCCATGTAAAGTTTATTCAAGACTTAGGAGTGTTGCATTTTGTGATGCATATAGCAATTGTCATGGTTATGACTTTGAGAACCACACGTTAATATCTGTGGGGTGTTGCCTGTGGAGGTACTGCATTTCAGTGGCGGCAGTGTGTCAGGGGGAGAAATGGCACGGAGAGTTTGCTCCTGCTCTGTCTCTTTTGGTGCCCTTGAATAGAATACAGTAGAAAGTATTCTGTATCCCATTCCTCTTTGCAAATGGAAGTAACATGGAGTGTTTTCAATGAGACTGAGATCTTTAACACACTGGAAGAGCTTTTGGGGGTTAAAAAGAAGTAAAAAGTGTAAAAATAAATGTTAATGGAAAAATAAATGACATAATACTAAAGAAGAAAAAAATGAAATGTATGCACAGTGGTGTGATCAGATTTTACTAGAAATGCTATAAGAGACAGTGGTCAGAAAAAAAAAATCAGTTTCTAATGGGGAAAAGTGACATTTGCAGTGTTTAAAGACTTATGTTTTCCACAGGAACCAGGTGAGATGGAATATAAAGAATTAATAGAGGTGCTTTAAAACCATTAAGTGCCAAAACCAAATTTCTAGCTGAGAAAATATATGTTTCCCATCTAAGAAACCAAATGGAAGGAGAAAATATCTGAATTTCTAGCCAGTCTAAAAACCTTTCTGTTACCTGTTGGTTGAGTAACCCTCCACAAGAAGCTTTCTAGATGTCACTTTGGCTTTGGGATAAGAAATCCAGAATTAAGATCAAGGCTTCTGAGCACTGTTCACATAAAAAGAAAACACCTCAGAAAGAGACATGAAGATGGTTTCAGTGCTCACCTTCTTAAGAAAGTTGTGCAAGATTTGAAGAAAAAGCATTGACCCGGTCAAAGGAAGAATTAATGTACAGGTAAAGAAGACTGCAAAGTTCAGTCCCCTAAGCCTACCAGGAAGCAGAAGGGATCCATGGCTTCATTCTTTGTGACAACATATGGTCTGATCAAGGTCTCTTCACAAGCTGCAATGACAGAGTGGTGGTAAGACGGGATATATTCCTTAAAAAGAAGTTGCGAGCCATAAGAATGGAGCTGTACCCAAAAGTGTTTCACAGCTCTGTTTATATGGGGGTATTGGTTTTTAGGGGGGTTGGTTTGGGGTTTTTTTGCAAAGCTATGTGGGAGTGGGGGTGGGCTATATTCAATTCTGGGAATTTTCCTTTTTGTCATTTGTTGTTTTGTTGGGTTTTTTTCTTTAAATCCACAATAAAAGTAAATTCCGACTGAGAGTATCTGTTTTCTTTTTGTGTATGCAAAAGTGTAATTGTTTAAATGTTGTTTAATGTAGCTTCTGTGAACTGATACAAGTGAGTGGTGCACGCACTATGAACTCCAGGATACTAATGCACCTGAGAATGGTTTAGTGGACTATGTTCTCTTCCTGGTTTAATTTATAATATTCTTAGCAACATTCCTTCGAGGATCTCTGAAGCTGGGAGCCAACGTGTGTTTCATCATAAGCATATATATATTATTACTGGTTTCAGTGGGATTCCTTACTTACTGGAAGTAACGTTTCAGCACTTTAGAGCCCAAGTGCTCAACAAACATACCTTTTAAGAGCTCCATTTTACAGATACAGAAAATTTAAACTCATAGAGGTTAGGTAAGGTCTGAGACTAGGGTCAAAATCTTCACACTCCTAGATCCCTATTTCAACCATGCAGCTATGTCTCTTCCCATACAAAACCTTTAAAGTAAGTTTCAGCTTTCCTAAACTGCTCTTACTTTAGAGGTCTTGAGATGCTGTATTCCAGTATTTTTTTATTATGTTTTTTTGAAGGGTTCCTCCCAGTTTAGGTCACTCAGTGGAGTTTCATTTCAGCACTCCTAAAGAGTAGAGTTTAAAGTCTTTTTTTTTTTTTTTTTTAAGAGTTTAAAACTTTAAAGAGTTTAGAGTTTAAAACCAATGCCATGTTTTACTTCTGAGCCTCTCTATCTGAAAACTATGGGTAATAAGATTTACTAATCCACTGAGGATCTGTGAGTGTTTAATGTTTGTGAGGTAGTACTTAGTTGTAACTACTGTGTGAGTGTTTGTGCTCTCTCCAATTTGGCAGTTGGACCGTTTCCCAAGGTTGGAACATCCGGGCGCTTCCCGGGAACCAGGAGCTCCTGCTGTGGAGCATGGCCAGGATTTATGAAACCTGGCTTAACAGAAGGGATTGAGGTGGTACGGGGGCAGACATTACAGGCTTTTCCTCTCCCCACCTGGCACAGAATAATGCATGTTGGAAATGCAAATGCTCAAACCCAAGATAATCAAGCTTCTTGTAAGTGCCAAACTACTGGTAATCATAGATGCCATTTGGAAGGTATCAAAAAGGAAATTTCAGTGTTCAGCTTGAACTAAACATGAGAAAAGGGGTCGGTGCATGTTTAATGTGTGTTCCCCTGGCTGTTTTCTAGCTATTTACGTGGCTGATTAATGTTACTGAAAGCTTGATTAAAAGAAAAAGAGGAGCAAAATAATAATGACTTCCTCATGATTCTCAATTACTTTTTAAAATCATCTATGCTTAAAAAAGATTTAAAATCTTTAGTTATATAACCATGGGACACCTTGTCTTAGCCTCTCTGTTCAAAATCTGGGGACCCAACAGCAGTTTGCCAGGCACTGTTGCATTCTGATTGCTGCTAAATTTTGAATAATCCCAGCCACTGAAACGCTTTTGCCATTTCTGTAAACTACATTTTACCAAATTCATGAAATATTTACATTTAGAAAACCAAATGGCTCTGAATACAAAAGAGCAAAGTAAAGTATCAAAACCAGAAAAGTTGCAGTATTAATTTGTGACTATTTGAGTTCAGCGGGAGTTGATGCTGTCTGTGTCTCTTGCTTTTCAGCTTCATGTGGTCCATTGGAACTCAGAGAAGTATTCCAGTTTTGTTGAGGCAGCTCGTCAGTCAGATGGATTAGCAGTCATGGCAGTATTTCTGAAGGTAAAAAAAGAATGCCTGAGCCCTCCTAGTAAATCTGCATAATAAACCCAAAAGGATAATGAGATGATTGGATTGCTAAAGGCATACTTGTTTTATATGGGCATTAAATGACACTGTTTCCTTCACACTGTTTCCTTGCCAATATGAAAAACTGTGCTTTCTTGAAGGTGAAATATATCAGATTAGTAGATTTTCAAGACAGTGAGACTCTTCAGTTTGCCTAGTGAAACTTTAATTCAGCTGCCCCTAAATGGATCTTGACTAACAGGTTTCTTTAGGAGAGCAATCTGATCTGATTCAAATGCTTCTCTAATGATTTGTTTCTGTGTTGGTAGTTTCTTTTGAAAAACAATAATAAGAAAGCCCCAAAACCCAGAATCTGGGGAATTTCCTCATAACTGTCATATACCTCTTTGTCTTCTGTACCTGTTCTAAAATGAAATTAAACTCTTGCAACATCTTAATTGACTTCTGCGTGAAGAAGCAGATGAAGAATTCACACAATCCATGACAAAGGATGGTGCTGGCCCTGGTGTAGTCAGGGAGTCATTGTACGCAGCAGTTGCAAAGAACTGTTTCAGTAATTCTGTTATTCCAGTTTACATTACAGTGATTCAAGGACAGTTTCACAGGATTTCTTAGCACATAAATTCTGCTTGGGATACATAAGAAAGATATTTTTGCTGTTTTAACAATTCAAATTTCAGATGTAAGCCTACCACTTTTAATATATTGCATATAAAACATTAAAAATAAATTACTTTTGTTCTCCTGCAGTATAAAGTTTGTGGGTCTTTTGTAGCTGAAATAATTACTATGAGTAGCCAGAATAAATACTGTCTATAAATAATAAATAATTTAAAAAAAATGAAAGAGTGGATCTTCTTTATGACTAGTACTGTTTCTAAGGACCAGCTAGTCAGACTTGTACTCACAAAGTCCATCAGATCTCACAGTCATGTAAGTTCTTCAAAACATTTTCATTCTGCATTTGCTATTTTATTATCTAATTTTGCTGTTTTTCCCTGGAGCTCAAATATTTCTTTTTTGTCTGGTCTAAACAGATTGGTGAATGCAACCCTCAGCTGAAGAAGATTACTGACCGCTTGGACACCATCAGAATCAAGGTGAACAAATGCTTCTAAGAGAATACTAGTATTGGTGGTTGCTTTTGTTGTTTTGGGGTGGTTTTTTTTTTTTTTTTGGTAGCCTGTCTGCTACTGCCTTCACCTTCGTGTTCCCTAGTCCCTAATTTCGTAGCTATCCATATCTAATTCTGATTTGGGACAAAATTAGGTGAAGTGAAAAACTAAGTGTAGGTGGAGTTGAAAACTAAGCACTAAAACTAATTTTTATAAGGTAAGTGATCAGAGGAAAAGGCTAATTCTTCACAGAACCTAGTCTCTGACAAATCTGTTGCTATGACTATTAAGAGGGGAAGAACATACTTTATGGAAAACTGTAAAAAAGATGAGGAAAAGGTTTCCTTCCCTGTTTTGCTGAGGTACAGGGTGAGAAATAAGCTATTGTTTGTATGAGAGAAATTAGGCAGACTCATAACATCATACATCCTACAGGCATTTCCGGCCTGGTAGCTGCAAAAGGGGGAAGAAGTAGTAACCTGTGGGCCTCTGACAAAAAGAATGGGGAGGGATGCTGATGGCAGTAATCTGTGGGGTTACTCTGCCAGCCCCGTACGTACCACATTGAAAGTCTTACATCTTCTCACCTCTCCCTTCAACTTCCATCTTATGGTCATTTGTAATTCTAAGCTCTACCTCCTTTAGCACAATTTATCTCAGCCTCTTGCTTTTAAATAATACTGTGCTGTTTTTCTCTCTTTTTTTTTTTTTTTTAATACAAAAGATAATTTTCTAAATGTCATAGATTCACAGAATGGCTTAGATTGGAAGGGATCTTAAAGCTCATCTGGTTCCAAACCCCCTCCCACAGTAGAGGTCCAGGTGTCCCTAGTCCAGGTTGCTCCAATCCCCAATCCAACTTGGCCTTGAGCACTGTCAGGGATGGGGCAGCCACAGCTTTTCTCGGCAACCTATGCTGGGGTCTCACCACCCTCATAATAAAGAATTTATTCTTAATATCTAATCTAATCCACTCTCTTCCAGGCTACAACCATCCCCCCTTGTCCTATCTGTACATGCCCTTGTAAAAGGTCCCTTTGCAGCTTTCTTGCTGGCCTGTTTAGGTACTGGGAGCTGCTCTAAGGTCTCCTGGAGCCTTCTCTTCTCTAGGCGGAACAAACCCAGGTCTCATATATTTAATCTAGAATCACAACAAGCTATTTTGTTTTCTTTCCAGGGTAAAAGAGCACTATTCACCAACTTTGATCCTAGCTGTCTGCTTCCCAAGTCCCTGGACTACTGGACTTACTTTGGCTCTCTCACTGTTCCTCCTCTTCTTGAGAGTGTCATCTGGATTGTTCTGAGAGAGCCCATAAGTGTTTGTTCTGAACAGGTATTTCTGAATTTTTCACTACTATAGAAATATTGCTTTTGTAAGACTTGAGATTGTAAATACCACCCAAAAATATATTTATTTCAGACCTTGGCATTGCATACTTCATCAAATTTTCAAAGGACAAAATATGGCTATCAAATTTATACTGACTTCTTTTTGCCATTCTTTGTGAACAGCTACTTTTTTTCTTTTCTGTTTTTCCCTAAGAATCTGCATACTCTGATAGTTAACAATAAAAAATAACCCACAAGGAACTTACAAAAAAAGAAGTGTTCTGGTGATGCTTAGAAATCCTAGAATTCCATTATTTGCATATCCTGCTCAAACCTCTTTTCTGGGATTTTTATTTGTCACATCAATAGTAAATGTCTTCTTGCATTACAGATATGTAAAACTTAGTAAATTTACTAGAATAATGAAATGCAAATGTAATTATAATAAGTGAGGTTAGGCTATCTTAGGAAAAGTGTGATAAAAGAATCTACTTAATTTTTTGGTGAAATTAAGCTTAATGCTGTGTATTTATGTTGCAACAGTGACACCCAGTGGGCTGATCACCTTGGGTATAAAGAGTTTTTTGCATTTGAGACACTGATGTCAGATTATAGTTTCTAATATTGGATGTTGATATATTATTAATATTCTGAGCACATGTAACCCTCAAGATTTTGGTACCACAGCTTTTGTCCCGTTCATGGTAAATATTACAAATACCTCAGAAAATTCAGTACCTGAGGCCACATGAAATGGTGACTGCAGACTGTGCAAAATGGTAAACAGTTCATTGGATGGGATGCTTGTTAGTCAGGAGACTAAAATCCTGTTTGTAACTGATTTGAAGTCATGTATTTGCTCAGTGTGCATTTTTCTCATCTGTATCTCTTCCCCACTCCCCTCAATCTGGCTTCATAAGACTCTCTGTAATACATATCGATCTGGAATTGAAAATGCCTGTGAAAATATCAACTTCCAAAAGACAAGCCATTGTTCAGGTTTAAAGGTTCTTACTTGGGCTAATCTATAATGAATACACTCTAAAATGTGAAATACTGTATGTAAACACCCATGTGTAACAGATTCAGAGGACATGGTGTTGGAAACAGTGTCAAATACAGTGACTCTTTAAGAGTCATTTTTCACAGACTGTACCTATATCTTTCGTATTTAAGTATGCTATATTCATATAAATATAAGCGTGCATGTAGCTAAAAGTGCTTGTTTCTAGTAATGTCCACCATTGTGATTTATCAATAATCACCATCACTGATACTGTGCCATTTAAATTTATTCCTCGTGTTTGTGTTTGTTCTGGGGTTTACAGTTTACAACACGATTTTGGGGCACTTTTCAGCTTGAAAAAATAAAAAAATAGATTTTAAGACTGTAGAAACTCACAGGGAGCCTGAATTACAGATGTTAGGTTTAGAGTGGGGTGAAGTAAGGTATCATTGATTTTATTATTTTTTTTTTTTTGCTCTTATTGTGATTAAGGTGCAGTGTACCACACAACTAAATGCTCTATTCTAATCAAATGATTATCGTGCTGTCCTACCTCTGGTAACTTAGAAGGGAAGTAAGGTGATTTATAAAAATAGTAAATATTGGAAATATTAGCAGTTAGAAAAAATACTAAACTTCAGGTCATAAATCAGACTCAGCCCTACTGAGGTTTAGACATGGAGCTCTGATGCGGGTTTCTGCTAAGATCAGTTTAAGCAGAGAAGCTTATACTGAAAGTATGAATAACTGCTTGTTCTGTCTTCACAAGGGAAAATTTTGAAATCTATCCTGATTTGACTACATGTTTAATATGTGAAAAGTGCTAATTGCAGAAGCTTTCTATAGCACTGCACTTCTTATTCCAGATTAATTGTGAATATACAGTTTGAACAAGAAGATGTACACAGGTGCATATAATATACCTAATTTTTGGCATGAAGTTTTCTAGAATCTTCATACTATAAAATTAAACTAAAATATATAAAACTCCCTGGTTTAAATCAGGTTATGGAAGATAAAAGTGTGAATACAGGAAACAAATAATCCTTATGCACAGTTTCATTCTAACACATGCTTTGGAAGGGTTTTCTTAGTAGTCATCACTTTTCAGTTGCAAGAACATGACAGAAAAATAGAGTGCTTCCTTGCAGCAAAAAAAGGTGACAAATATCTTTAATATTTACTACATGCTTTTTCATTAGTATAAGCGTGAAGGTTTTCTGCTGAACCTTACCTCTCTCTTGATTGCAGCTAGCCAAGTTCCGCAGCCTCCTGAGCACAGCTGAGGATGAAGTTGCCTGCTGCTTGCTGAGAAACTACCGCCCTCCCCAGCCTTTAAAGGGACGAGAAGTCAGGAGGAATTAAGGAGTAAAGACAGAGCAGTCTCCCTCTGAAACCAAAGGCTGAATTAATTTTAATAGTTAATATTCTTAATGATATTTTTTTTGTGAGTTGTTTTAACAAATAGGTGTTGTTTTGTTACTGGCTACCATGCAATCATTTCTAACAGACAAGTATGTCCTGAGCTGTTGCAGGTTCATCAATGTTAACAGATCTGACTTTGTTTGTGTGCATTGGTTTGGGAGTACCCAGGCATTAGCATGCACAGAGGGCAGTGCTAGTCACAAAGTTCAGACGTGGTGAAGGAGTTGTCCAGAATTTGCCACCAAATTACTGAACAGGATCTCTGATATTAATGGTATCAAAGGATGCTGTGAGATTATTATTTTGGTCTCTAGCATAACATTTATCTTCTAAATAAGACTTCACACTGTAATTCTCAAGAAAAAGATGTTTCAAAGCTGATACAATATCATTGCTGACTTCTGCAACACCATGCTTACCTTCCTACAAAAAAGCAGTAATGACAGATATATGCATATGATCCTGTTATTCTGACTGCTTCGTAGCAGTAAAGATGTCCTGATTTTTATTTTTTTTTTAGCAAATAGTAAGGATTTTGTATATTCTAGGATCATGTCAGATGGATTAGGTATTCCTGAATTCCATCACATGTAGTGATGCCATTATCCTGAAAACTTAAAGGTGGAAGGGCACAGAGGGAATTGTTTGTTCCTAAATCCAGTCTGTCACATTTGATGAACATTAAGGGACTGTAACACTGTATCTATGTAGCATCAGACTCCTACTACTTAAAAACAGGAGGCAGGGGTAGCTGTTGCTCCAGACTGTTTCCTGCTAGACACGTTGCACACTGCAGTATGAAGCACATGCTGCATACCTCACGTCTCGCAGTGGAACTCAGGTATGTAATGTATCCTAGGTACTGGGTAATGTTCTGCTATAATAGCTGAACTTGGGTAGGTTGCACTTACATTCCAACACCAAAGATAGCAGTCAGACCAAGCCAAAGAAATCAGAATCAATTCAATATCTAATACAAGATCAGCCCTCAGCAGCAATTGTTGAAATGTCTGTCTTGAATTAATTTACTTGAGCCTGTGTTTCTCTCAGGAGCTTTTGTTATCTGAATATAATTGTTTGGTTTGTGCCAAATTAATTTTTATTATTTTTAATGAATTTGCCATAGGATATAGCTTAGTATAAGATTAGGTTTACCCTCAGACTGTGAGTACTAAATAGTGAAAACCAATGATACCTAAAAGAGGCAGCTAAAGGTTTCATAGGCAGCAACTACCACCAGTCTCTGCAGTAACTTGTGACCAACTCATCTTCTGTGACTGCTCTGCCTGAGCTTGTGTTTTTGTAAGGTTTTATATGCTGTGCCTTTTACCTCAACAGGTCTTTTGATCTTAGATGGATAAATATGAGGGAAATCACAATCAGGATTGACTTTATATACCTTTTTATAAGTGAATAAATTAGACATAGAGACATAGATATTTTAGCTTAGATTAAGATAGGTGGATTTTTTGTTTGTTTGTTTTCTCTTCCCCAGTATATAGGTACTATTACTGCACGGCCTCTCAACACCTGCTGAATGTTTTCTGAATAAAGAGCACAAATAGGCCATAGGAGAAATAAAAGACATTTGGCAGTGGCAGCAGACATAAAGATTAGCCAAAGAGGAAAAACCTGCAGATACTTTTTATTTTCTGGCATAGGGAGAAGAATGCAGCTGAAAAGACCTCACGTTGGTTCTTTATGAATGAGAATGTATGGAAAATGTGCATGGAGAATGCAGGGGCGTATGTGTGTTTTCATACTCTTTTTTAGTCTTAGTGTTGAATCTGATATGTTTCCTTGTCATGTGAATAGCTGCATAACACGAATAAAATCTTTACAAATGCTCGAAGGTTATAAAGCTTGTTTGCCTCAGGAGAGAAAGTGATAAGGCTACTGCTTCATATCAGAAACAAGTTTTACATGTTTTTTACATATTGAAAACAGTGGAGTTAATCCAGTGCTTTGATATTTATAAGGATTTTATCAAAATAAAAAATCGATTGTAAGAATGTGTCTTGTATTTTGTATTGAAGAGATTAAAGTTTTACAGAGAAGGCTGCAATTTTATGACTACTGCCTGCAGCTCTAGTTTGGGAAAAAATTGTCACCCCCTCATTTGAAGTCTGTCTTTGGCCAATGCAATATTAGGTATTTTTTTAGTGTTCCAAGTAATATGTCTTTGGGAGTAGTAAGACATGCAATGGATTGTACATAAAGTTTCTGATAGTGCTTTTTTGAACTATTGACTATTTTTATAGAGTTATGCAAATAAGTTCTAGAAGACATCATTTACAGTAATTCTCCTAATGTGGAGATGCTGTGTTCATGTTAGATTGAGCTAGCATAGTACTGCATCTGTGCTGAAACCTAGTGCTGTCATCTGAAAAAGACTAGAAATGCTCAGTTTCCTTAAATCCTGTGGGACCAGCTTTCCATATTACCCATCTGCTGGAAATGTAAAGTGAGAGCATAGACCCAGTCTCAGCACTGAGCACTTGGTTGCATCCTCAGTCACTAACTTACTCTATGTCCAAGCTGTGCTGAGTCTCAACCAGACTACATGACATGGTCCCAGGGAATTAAATCTCCAGTGTGGGCTCTGTGCTGCACTAAGATGACTGTAGAGAAAAAAAGGCTATAATATATCATCACCCTCCCCAGCTGCAGGTTGCTTTGATCAATTCTTTACCCTTTGATACACTTGGAGCCTTTGTACTAAGAAGAATAAAATGCTCAGTGACCAAAAATCATATAAAGAGTATTTGCTGAAAATAGTAGCTGTCAGGAATTGTATACAGCTGGATGGTTGGTCACCCATAAACTTACTCTCAGAATTAAATGCACTCCTAAGGGCTCTGCTGGTTTTGGTACAGGAGGGAAGCAATACGCTCTGTTGTGTTGGCAGCTTTTGACAGTCATGCTCATGATGTTTTTCATGTTGCAAAGACAGAGTTCAATGTCAGCTAGGAATTTTCTTTATGTGAAGAAAAAACCTGGGAAGTAGATGTCTTTCCTTCTGGAGTATATTGGGCTGAAGATGAGGCAAACAACTGTTTGCTGCCATACACCCACTTGATACATACTTGTGCTTTACCTGTCCCTTCAGAGATTTGTCCTTCTGTTGCTTCAGCAAGCAGGACTTTGATGGCCTTCCAGACATAAACTGGGACCTAAAGGAATTTGAAGAATCAGTTCCAGGAAAACAAAAACAAACAGAAGTCTTCCAAATGATCAATTTCAAAATAAGTTTACTGAGAAAACTGGAATGTATCGTATGAATAAAGTAACAGAAAGAAATATGCAATACAGTTTTTATTAATTTATTGGAAAGGAAATTAGGGATTTAGATTCTTGTAGCTTTAGGTAGGCAAGGAGCAGATTGGTAGAGATTAATCTTGCCTTAGCCTTCAGATGTTAAAAGTTGCAAATAATGGAGAGACTTAGAGCACCTCTAGGCTACAGTCTCAGCATGAAGGTACAAATGCTAAAGGAATGCTGCTCCAGAGATTGGTTTTTTTTTCGTTTATGAACTAGTATAAAAAAGCATCGTGACAATCTCCTTTATCACTCTGCTGATTGGTAGACTACATCTAACTTCTGACCTGTTACATTTTGTTTCTGACACTGTCTCATCTTCCTTTGTAGTTTAAGCTGTGGAGTAAAAAGTTTGTTCCATTTTTCTTTTTAATTAGCATTGCTTGCCTATGCTTATTTTCCTTTGATACTTCCTCCCTGGCATCTCTTTAAGACTTAGGATAAATTAACTTTTAAATTATCCTACAAAAATAGTGTTCTATTTCCGCCAATATTCTCCACTTACAGATAGCCTGTTTATTTTTCATATTAAGTCTTGCTATATTATTTGTACAGATCTGGCCTAATAGAGATGTGGTCATTGACTTAATCTCCTAGTGATCTCTCATACTTTTATTCATTAAGTACTTTATGGATAGACAGCCTTCTGAGTTTCTGCTGTCTTTGTGGGGCAGGAGATAATGCTGAAGTGCTTAAACAAAAATGTTTCTAAATTAGTGTTTTGCTTCCTATTTCTGTCAACCTCTCCATCATTCATGCCAAGTACAAGTTTTCAGTGTGGTGAACCAATTGCATGTGTGATTTGTGTTGGCTTCTCTGTGCAGCAGAATTTGAGGACAGGGAATGTCTGTCAGGAGAGTACTGGATTGTCATATGAAAACAAAAATTCTCTGCCTCCACTTCACAGAACTCATGTGCTGCACAGTCAGTTCCTGTGTCACTTCTATTTTACCAATTTTCACCCACATACTCGGGTGCATAAATCTGAATAATCTGCAGTTGCTGCTGACAGTTTCACTTTTCAGATGTAAATTATACAGGTTGCATGCAACGGGTAAATGTGGTTTTATGGAGATCTGATTTTTATTTTTTTTTCTGAGTCTGATTTGAAAGTATTTTGAATAAAGCATCAGCTGTTTAAATGTCATCAGTTTGCTTCCAGTTCTCTTTTCAACAGCTGGAATAACAGCAGACAGAAATATATCTTCAATAAAATAAATTGTTTAAAAAAACCCAACACTTTGGCATTTTTGAGGAAATAAAGGGACTCAGTCACCCATGGTGTTTTTCAATTTGTTCTTGATTTGTTTTCCCTTTGTCTCGCTTAAACTCCAGCTTAAGTATTTTGTGATTTTATGAATAGTTTATTTGGAACTCACTAAGAATTTATATTTCAAAATTGTTTTTAAATTCTTGTGGTTATGTAGAAAGCATAGGTACCTATGTATGAATAGTTGAAAGAATGCTGTGTCCCCAGGTCTGCAGATGGCAGTGGCAATCAAAAAATTGCTGAAAATTAAATATTTGTTGCCTATTTCATTGCAAATAGTTATAAATAAGAGCAATATCTTATTGCTGCACCAAACTAAATAATACAAAAGTCATGGTACCAAGCTATTCAAAAACATGATGACTTACAGCACAACAGATTCTGGTGAGTACTATGGACTTGAGCTGACACTGGACTCTGCCAGCCTCCTGAAGTCTGCAGACAAGGTCCTGCGTGCAGAGATGCTTCAGTTTTGGTGTGTAGATGGTGTCAGTGATAGCTACATTCAATAGATAGGTATGTGGGTATGCTAAATATATGATGTTGAGCCAATGATACCTCAGCAGAAACTGTGTCTCCTGAATGTTGGAGATGCACAGCATTCTTACATGTACCAGTAAATGGTACTGATGATACAAAATCTTCTGTTTTGATGCATACTCTGGATATAGATAGATGGGTGATTGATTGAGAGCAGGGATATTGGGTTTGAAAAGATGATCAACAGACTGAAAGATATTCAATAAACTAAAACGTTGAACTGACTGTGAACAACTGCATGGCGAGATGTGAAGAAGATGAATAAAAATGCCAAAGATAGGTGAGAATGAACACTGAAAAAAATAGTAGTGAAAAGGGGCCTTTACAGATTGCTTTTGCTGGTAGATGCCACTGTAAATAACTCCATAGTCTGGATGTCACCTTCATTCAGACAGTGCAGCCCCAGTAATACCCATTGTGCTCCACAAGCTGAGACTTCAGCTTGTGGAAGAAGAGTATGACTATAACCCATGTATTAAGCATGTGCTGTTGATTGTGACCTACTCCCTTTCTTAAAAGTGAAACAAGAGTCATGAAAAAAGGGATTACTTGCAGGTACATAACAAATGATGTTCAGATTCAAAAGATCATATTTAGGTGAATCTATGCATTTAAATGCTCCTGTTTTCTATAAGCAATTACCAACACATAGTTGCCTAAAAGTCATATGGCAGAAACAACCACTACAGGATGAAATAAGTTTTTCTGTGTTTTCTTCTAGCTGGCAGTTTCCCCAGACATTAAAAAAAAAGAAAGAGTATCTAAGTCGTTTGTGTACAGGGAGCTTGGGCTGTGCATGGCCACATCAGTGCACCACGCAGGTCTGTAGGTCCAGCATGGTCTGCACTTCCCTAAGCATATAGAAAGCCTTTGGGCAGAGCATGAAGAGCAAATCAGACTGTGCTGATGCCTGAAAGCTCTGGGAGCAAGCTTCCTGCAAGGACAAATTCATACATGCAGTAAATACTGCCAAGTTTTAAGTAATCATCACTGAGCACTTTTTTTGGAAAGGGAACAGTAAAGTTTCATAAGGAAAATCTGACCAGTTCTTTGAAACCAGATTCTGCTTAGTTTTCTGACTGAACCAGATGAATGGTGGTGCTTGCTTGCTTGCTTCAGCCGTGGCATCACTCCAGCCTCGCTCTCTGTGTGAGGTTCTAGAAAGCTTTTGCTTTCTTTTCTCTCAGTTATGAGATAACTAAATATCACTGCTAGGATTCAAGGCTGGCATCTTGGTTCAGTCACTGTAAATGTGTTAACTGGAAAAAGATCTTTGTGATTACAGAAAAGATGGGAATTGCAACTATGGACAGGAAAATGCACTACCAAAATGTTCTTCTCTGGCAGGCTGTTTTGTTTTGTTTTGTTGGGTTTTTTTTGTTTGTTTTATTTGTTGTTTTTTTTTTTTTATTTGTTGGATATCTGTCATTTTTACTGGATTTCACCCTCTGTGTCAGTTTAGAGGATACATGCAACCTACATTGCCCCCACCTCTGGGTTATGGCAATCAGAAAATAATCTAGTAATCCAACCCTGCAGCATGACCATCTAATAGCAGAGTGGGAACACCCAGGATATCAGAGCCAAACAGCACGTGGGTATACACACTGCTTAGGTGTGATATTGCTTAAATAATGCAGAAGTTCTCATGATTGTGCTTCATTGTTCCTTAGTGACTGGCATGGGTGTGTTTCATCATGACAATGTGTTCAGGGGTGTTTACAGAGACACTTGCACTAAGTTCCTATTAAAATGGGTTGAGATTTAAAAAAAGAAAGACTGAAATAAAGAATATTCTCTTGCATCCACTAGTTCATGCAAAAGGAAAATGTAACTGAGTGAACTGCTTTGTACTGTAATACGAAAACTCTATTCTGTTTTCTGAAAAGTGTGTGTTCCTGTTTAGATGTGCTTTACATGTTTATATATCTGTACTGGACTTCTTTTCTCTTGTGTCTTAAAGCTAGATTCAGCCTTTTCAGAGTCAGTAGTCATCCCAGTCTGGACACTGGGTGAAGTATTAAGCATGCAGGCCTTTGAGTGCTAAGATGTGCTTCACTTGCAGTACTTAATATTCTTGCGTTGATAGGCACTGTACAAACATTAGCTAATGCTTCCTACTGGCACTAGGAGTTACCTTTCTCATTTGGCAAGGAAAACACTACCCATCCAAGGTATGAAACCACTAACTAATTCAATGGCTAGATAAAAAGAAATAGTTTAACTCCATATTCTTGTTGCTACCATTTTCTGAGTTTACAGAGAGGCATGATATCACACCCACAATGTAAGCACTACCCAGTTACAGCAGTGAAGAGTTCATGTTGAAAACCAGTGTAGCTGTTTCAAAGCCTGCCCATCAAGGCACTTGGAGAGGTAACAGGGAACCCTCAGGCTGAGTGGGAAAATGTCACCTACTTGAACGAGTGTATTAACTCACAGTGCTGGGGAGCTTCCACCTGAACATAGCCAAGTCCTGTCCCTCTCCAGTTGCTAGTATGGGCACAGCATGTGTGTGCCAGAAGTGCCAGAAGTGCCATCTGCAGCAAAGGGACCCAGGGCTTCACCAGCACCTCTCTCTTTTCTGAATTCCACTGGAGTGGCTGTGTGACACCTTGTCCCCACTCAGTCTGGCCACTTAAGTCTCCATAAGCTGGCTGCTGTGTGGGCACCACTGCACGTGGGATTCCTGCACAACAGTGGTATTTAAATGAGAAATAATAAGAAATGAGAAATAAATGAGAAAGCCAGGTTGTCATCTGCTTTCTGGAGTTCTCTACTGAATTTAGCCACTGGCGTTCATCCTAAGTTTTATTATAGGTGCCAAAATGCATCTTCTGTATCCTATTGTAAGCCTATCTTGTCCCTCTCCTCACTTGCAAACCAGGTGCATTAATGCTTGTTCTCTTCATTAACCTGTTGTCTTTCAGCAGAAGTTGAATATGTGACTTTTGTGTCACAGAAACCAGTACGTAAGCAAGTGCTGATTTAATTAAAGGAACAGCCACTGTCTTTGTTAGGTATGTGGTCAAACTAGAACTAACTCATCTTGTGGTCAAAGCCAGTAGTATGCAAGCAAGATAAAGAGGGAGAGAAGCAATTAGAAATTGAGCTCCTTCTTTCTCTATGAAGAAAGAAGGCGCTTCTGGTTTGCAGCCTGGAAAACCGGATGTGTAGAAGGAGTTGATTTTAGGCCTTGAATGGGTAACATCTGTCTCAGGGAGAGCAGTGGAAAGTGGTTTTGGAAAGCTGTGTTTTAACGGCACGGTTTGCTCTGGGGGCTGAGCCACCTCTAGCATAGGAGCCCTGCACAGAAACTGTTCTCTTTCCAGCTTAGCCTACCTTTCTTTGTGGCTTTGCAGTTGTCATGTCACATAACTATGTCCCTGTATGCTTACAGATCTACAGAACATGAATATAAATGTTTTTCATAGTCTTGAACACAATTAGGTTTAATATATACTCCTTTATACTTTCAGTATTGTTCTGTTGAACCAATTATTTGAATTCAGTCTATGCTCTTTCCACAACTTGCATAATTTGCTGTAGTATCACAGAAATGAGATTTCAGAAACAGGTCTAGAGCTGATCTCCTGTACGTAAGTGTCTGGTCTTGCAAGTGCTTGAGCCAAATACCTGTTCTCTGACTCCCTCTCATCAATCAGATATGCTCAAATGAGTTAAAATGTCACTTGAAGAAAGAAATATGCATACAACAAAGACTTGGAAGCAAGGCTAAATGATAACAGGATGGGTCAGCAATGTTCATACTAGGGAGACCTAGGAGTCCAGAAGCAGAATACAATGAGTGAAATAGGAAACAATTCCATAGGTCTTGGCAGAGCTTTCCTTTGCAACAATTATCTAAAACTGTCTGGAGGCTTTCCCTGGAGCCTTTCTCTCCTTTGACCCAATGACAAAAGGACCTGTGTTACAAACTTTGTTGTGGGATATGTCACGGAAATGCAAACTGAAACATTGTTAGCTCACAGCCTTGTAAAATCCTGCCCAATGTTAATCCTACAATTCTTATTCATGGGCTGAAAGCACTTTGAATAGTTGAAGTGCAACCATTTAAGATATTCCTCTGGCATATGTGCATTTTCAGACAGAAGCAATGGCTCCATTGGACCATACCTCCAAAGTATGCTGCCATTGCAGAAATGAGCACACTTCACAACAGTGTGAATCAATGGAAGACCACCTCTGGAGAGGGAAGGAGGGGGATGTGCAGATCTGGCGTCCCTCAGAGGAAGCCCAATCGCTTGCACAGAAGCACTGTGGATGTCCCCCTCCTTGCTCTTCCTCACAGGGAACCTCCAGATAAACAGGGGTGGTCCTACTGCGTCAATTGCTGACAGCTTTTTGTGTCACTGCTACCAAATCTGTCCTAACACATTTTTCAACGGTAAATCTAAACATTTCCTGATGCACGTTGTTGGTGTGCCAAGGGCTAGTGTCTCCTTATCGTGAGGAAGCAGTTCAGCTTCAAGGGGCAGCCCAGATGACCAGAGTGCTCTGTCCCTCAGCTCTCTCCTGATTAACAACCCTCCAGCCAAAGGAGCACGTTTACAGCAGGGCAGGAGAGGGAATGTTCAGAGGTACTGTTCATAAAAGTATTCGCAGTGCATGAGTTGGTCTTTTATATTGATTCATGTTACTGTGTTGCTCTGGTAATCAAATTCCCCAGGTAGAGATGAGGTTTTATTACATTAGATTTTGATATTCCAAACTATTTTTTCCCAGTCTTTCAGCCTCATTTATTGCATTATCCTGTCCAACTTCAGTCAGCAGACAGCATGCTAATGATTTCAGTCACAATAAGAGCAGGCCAGATCACCACCACAAATCAAATCCATGGTGTCTCAAAAAAACCACGTCCTTGTACCTCCAGGATTCCTGTGCAGAGCTGGTGAGTTTGGACAAAAAGGTCAAAAATGCTGCTTAGGAAAGCCTTACCTGATGCTGACAAAGTCAGTGCTCGCCTATGCAGGGCTAAACCTGGCTCAGCCAGGGCCTGGTGCACGCTGCGCAGAGCAGAGCTGCAGGCCCATCCCCTGGCCATGCTGTGCAGCAGCATTCTGTCAGGCACACGCTTTGCCCCTGCCCTGCTGTATCTGGTTACTGAGGCGTCACCCTGGCAGCTGTCGTCCCACATGCCAAGAGCTACCAGGCATGCGACATGCTTGGTGCCCCTCAGCCATCCTCGGGCTTCTTTTGTTTGGGTGGCATGGATTTAAGCTCCTGAGGAGTGGTAGATGCTGTTCCAAGTGTATGTGAAGAATAAAGCCAATTCCCCCCGAGGGTGGGAAGTGAGAGGAAAGCTTGGGGCTTTCCGCAGCTCACAAATTTCCACCCTGGATTGTATGTGTGTATATTTATGAGAATATTAAGCATAGGCTACACATTGCCCAATACAACAAATATCAGGGATAAGATATTCCAGCCTCTCAATTTCACAGATTCATGCAAATGCGAGCAGTATCTCTCCACAGACAAAATAGGAAGTGAACGTAATGGCTATCTAGAACGGGATCATCAGGTGTCAATAGCTTGGTGGTGAGGGAAGTGCTCGTTTCAGGTTGCAGGATCAGGAGGTGCTGCTGCTGTCACCTCTTCCAAAACAGCACATTCGGGCTCCACGGCCTCAGCAGGCCAACACCCTGCAGTATCACCACCCTTTGCTTGTCAGCTGAAAGCCACCAGGACTCCTTAGGGATGAAGGGCTCTCAGTCTCTTTTGGGAGCAGGAGCCTCATTGTCACCCAGGCTCACTTAGCACCCTTCTGAGAAGAACTTTACACCTTTGGCTGACTTAGTGCTGCAATGGATAGCCCTTAAAGAAATTAGTCACAGTACACTGTACTGGTGTGAACACAATCCCACAGATGTCTTTTTCTTACACATACACTGATTAAACTGACTTGGCTCCAGCTACACTAAGGTGAAATTTGTGGCACAATATAGCTTTTTTATTTAAATGCTTTTAGGGTGTGATCTCTTTGTTACCTCAGAGCATTGCAAAGGACTTAATGGCTTCAGCAGTCAAAAAATAAATGCATTTTATTTAAGCTGTGTGTTTGTGCAGAAAATCTTGAGTAAGGCATGCAAGGAAGGAAGAATGCATGACTGTAACATAGGCAGCAGTACACCATTAATCCTTGTGCCTGTTTTTCAGCAATCTTTTCCTTTTCCTTGGTTGTCATAATCAGGTTCATTCAATTTCCACAGTTGCTCCAACTTGATGTTTTCACTTGTATTTTACTGAAGTAATTTTCTGAAGGAGTTACAGAAAAAAAGAAGCAGGTAAAGTCATTTATGTTGGAGAAGAACTTGAAAAAAGCGGTAGATCCAAGTGCCCGCTCTCTGTCACCCTTATGCACACCTGCAAAAGCCTCCAACCAGTTGAACCCACAGCTGAGCAGCTCAGTCAATCTGAGAAATTGCAAGATATAGCTCAGGACACTTGTTACAAAGCTTTGTAAAGAGACTTTGAATGAAACAGCTTTGTATAGGAAGCTGTTGTTCTGCCTAACAGATTTGTTCCTATTTCTTAAATGTGTGCCTATTGTGATCTCTTTGTGAAGTTAAATTTTTTTCTCTGCCATGATAAGGAAGATGCCTCTTCTGAAACCACTGAAACTGATACAGCAGTGTCTCTGTTCTCACTTTTCCCATGAGCACCACCAGATTTTGTTTCTGGAGAACTAAGAAGAGTGAAAATTATTATTTTCCTGATCACAGCTGCATCCATGATGCTATTGTTGCACCAAGACAGAGACAAGCGGCGTGGTTTCAGGATCACTCATTTAAGAAGGTATCAGTTACCTGAGAGAATTATTGGCCTCTTTGTAATCCTTTTGTGAACTTATGAACAGAAGGAAGCATTTTGCTAGCATGGCTTAATAAGGTAATAGGAATCAGTATTGCTGATGAGGATGGCAGGAGTATCTGACTAAATGTTGATTTGTCTGCTTTTTGATTATCACAGAAGTGGAGACTGATTTTGAGTACTGAGCTCCTTATTCCCATGTTCATGGAGGAGCTCCCATCTTGTTTATGATTCTGCATCAGGGAATGATATTAAGCAAAGAATCTTTTCTGACAAAAGGAAGATTCTTGTTCATAAAGGTGGAAGTCTCAAACTAAGCTGAAGTATTACATTTTAGCTGCAGTTTATGCTCATTCTCCTGCATTTTCAATTAACAATTTTTCCTTTAGTTCCAAGCTAGGAGAATGAGACCAAATGACCTCCCCTTTTTTCCCCGGATAAACAGCTTGTGATATCTCAAAACCTATTAAATACAGAAAGCTAGCTATAAATATGATGCCTGTTTTGGAACAGGGTCGATAAAGGTCTTGGAATGATTTTACAGTGTTTCTTACAAAGGCATTGCATAGAGTTAAGTTACTGTCTTGACTTCTGTCATCGTGTTTAACAGGCTAATGGCACAAGGCAGCAAAAGTGCACAAGCCAACGAGCTGTAAGATGATTTGCTTTGGGCAAGTAATTAGTTATTCATTTTACATGTTGCCGGATACACACACTGGTTAGCTGAAAAAGAGGACTGACTGCAGCAGAGGTGGTATGCTGCATTTAAAGCAGTTTGGCTTTTGGATATGTTGGGAACATGGATTTGAAAATTTATAGGAAGTGTGAGCAACTGTGAATGTTTACAGTGCTGCTTTTACTGGAAAGTCCCAGGCATGCAAATGTTAAACTATATCTGTAGAAACACATGCTGCAAGCCCCAAACAGATAATGGTCACATAATTTAATTAAGGTACTTCATAATTTCAGTCAAATAAAATTTAAATTACATAATGAGGTCAACCAGAATGCTAATTCCTGCTCTAATGCTTTATGTTTTTTATATAGAAGCTGGTTATCTTCTTCAGACCTTTGCCACTGCTCTATTAAATAATTCAGTTGCCACTGCTGAGGTCATTTGCAGAGTATTCCTCTGCTTGAGAAATAGTCAGACTGGTGCCATAAGTACTATGGCTAGACCAAGGTGCGTTATTTTTTCATGGACATATGTCTAAGAATTCTTTATTACATCTACAGGTGAAATAAGACAGCAATTACCACACAATTTCTTATAAACCACTGGTAGCATAGCACTGATACAAGTGTTTCTTCTCAAAGTGTTTTCTTTATTAATTTAATCAGGCTAGAAAATGAAACTGTTTTTATTAGCCACATCAACAATAACCCATTAGTAATTGCTATTAGCAACAGCAATTTAATTGAAAAAAAAAAAAACCCCGACATCTCATAGAGTTGCATAAACTCCTTGTGGAGAACAATTACTGTGCTTCTTATGAACACAATTTACTTAGTACATCAGAAGGAATGAGAATACTAATTAAAAATTTTAAAGTACATTTCACTGTTAAAATTCACCGTTAAAATGAATTTGCCTACCACAAAAGAATAGAGATTCCAGTAAAAGCACTAGTCAAATGCCATAGTGAATTACAATGGCTTCTGGCAGGACAGGAAAATTGCAGCTAAGAACACATAGAAACATAGAATTATAGAATGGTTTGGGTTGGAAGGGACCTTAAAAATCATCTTGGTCCAAAACCCCTGCCACAGGCAGGGACACCTTCCACTAGACCATGAAGAACATCCCATCCAAAGAGCTGAAATCTGTCTACATGGTGGAGCACCAACAATACAAATATCTTACAGGATCCCATTAACTTATGCCCAGGATCATGCTTTCAGCTCCCAAATCCCAACAGCCTCCTGCAGCTGCATCATTCTGAGGTGTTCAAAAGGCAGATGAGAGACTGCTTATAATTTAATTTAGCTACCTTATATGTTATCATTATTAGGCTGTGATGATGTTTATTTTACTCTCTACTGAATCCAAGGCCTTCAAAACACCCTTCATGTTTTCCTTGCATAAGCTAATCTGTAAATAAGAAAATCCTAAGTATGTAGCAATAGTTTTATTCTAACAGTATTGAGAATAACAATATGCTTTATAAATGCTGATTACTTTAGCTTTGCAAACGCTCTGAGACAAAATTTAGGACTTTTGAGGAAATAACAGGAAGTTTTCTTCTGCTTGGCAGAGTAATGCCAATAGCAGTGCAAAACCAGTCTGTCATTCAGAAGTATATTATTGCCTTGATCATATGTTCTTATCCTTAGAATTCACTTTGAAAGCATTCAGAGGGATGGTATTGCTGTTTTGAGGGGTTTGGTTTGTTGTTTTGGTTTTTTTCCTGTCTCAGTTGATTTTGACAGATACGTGCATGGGTTCAAGATTTCTTGGAGTTCTGATTTAGAATTTTCTGATTAACAGACAATAATAGTACGTGCAATTCAAAACTACTTTCTGTGAAAGTTCACATTGCTCTACGTGGACTGGAAAGCAAACACAAATGGTGGGAGCTCATGAAATGGGTACTTGGGTAAAAATATCAGTGTAGAAACATGGGAAAAGTTGTCAATATGGGCTAAATCAGGATAAGAGACAGTCATGTCCACTGATTTAACTGAAAGGCCTGTTTTTCCTAGTCCTCATCACTGATTGCAGTATTGCTAAGGAAAGGGAAGAGCAACGTGTTTTCAGTATGTCAGTAATTGACCTTCAGTACAAGTGACAACTGCCAAGCCATCCAGCTTGCTGGAAACCTCAGCTACATTCAAATACTTGTCTGAATTCCAGAGAATGAAATAAAGCTAAAAAACTATTTACATGATCATTTTTGCTGGTTCTATTACACAGAAATGCCACAATTAGAGTAAAACAGAAACACTACTTGGCACTCTTAGGGTCAGACTGTGAAACCGAGACCATGATTGTGAATGAACACCTGCAGATTTATGGTGTTCAGCTGAATTGCCCTGGCATTGTCAGGACTCGCATCCAGGCTTCACCTTGGGGTAGGCAGAACTGCATGTGTTCCTGAAAGCAACTCAGGGGTAAGTACACAGAGATGTGGAAAAACACAGCTTCAAAGGGACATGTATTTTTCTGACTTTATTGTTAACAGTTTCCTGTGCATGCCTTTAATTCCATGTCTTTAAAAATGTAATGCATTAAACAGCATTTAATGTGGTTTTGCACTTTGTTACACATGGTGCAATACTTGTTCACAATAGTCCCATTCATTGAAAAAAATTGATGGTATGGCAATGAACATCATGGCTGTGGATGGTTTGTATTCAAAATAGATCTTTCAACAAGTATTTGAGAGTATTTGCTTTTATAGAGTTTTAAGGAACTTTGTTCAGCCCAGTATGTTGCATATTATGTCTTGAACTTTTATTTTGTGAAATATAAAATTCCAAAACTTACAGAACATGGAAATCATAATCATTTCTTTAAATGCCTTCTCATCTATGAATATGCTTATTCCCTAGTGACTAGGTAATTCTATGGCAATAGTCTAGTCCTGGATTATTTGTATAATGTTACAGCAACATGGCCACAAAAAATATCAAAACATCTTAAAATACAGGCAGAAGATTCTAAAATACAGAAACAGAACACGGAAATAATCATGTAATGCACATAATCTTAAAATTCTGATTTAAATCAGGGTTTTTTTAACTTCTGCTATTTTTTTAAAGTTGACTTGCTTTTCAACTTAACATCTGTACTGTTTCAATGTATTTTAAACTATTGATTCAAAGCAAACTAATAAACAATCATGTGCTGCTTAAACACATCTTAAGTGCACTATCACTTTACTGCAGAAAGCAATTCTAAAGGGTCACCCTTCCTTATCTTGGCTGCATCAAATGAGATAGCTTTAGCACTCTCAACAGCGGAAAATTTCTTATTAGGAACACACTTCTGGCTGTGTGCTCCTAATGCCTAAATTAAAAAATCCATCTCATTAGTTTGTCATGTTGTAATGTTCCTAAAATCTAGAAAGCTGCCAAAGATAACAGTACATGGATTGAACATGAATTGGTTTTTGTCATGTTGATGACTATTAGCAGGACACTAAGGCACAGGAAAGCAAATAAAATCTGTGACTTTGGAGGTGGGTTTTAATTTTTGTAAACCAGACCTTGCTTCATTATCTGAAGCCATTTAATGTGCTTGACAGGTGTCGGTGCTGTCGCTAGTTATCTTTTTACCTCTTTTTCTTTGTGAATTTCTTCTTGGTTCCTTTCTTATTTGCTGTTCTTGAAAATCCAGGGGAAAAAAAAACCACCTTACAATAATCATCATGCCTGTAGCTTGTAGCTCCAGCTACAAACATAGTGTGCTAGGTGATGAAACTCTCTAAAAAGCAGCTGATTTAGTTTTAAGCTGAATGTACTTTTGCAGCTGACATTTTAACATCTAGCAGGTGCTACTTACTTTTATACCTGCACATTTCAGACCTATTTCATTATTTAAGTACTATTTCAAATATCTCAATTTAGAATAATAAGTACTGATTAAAAACCCCAATTAGTTTCTTCAACTTTGCACATGCAGAGATGGTATTGCTTTTGCAAAATAAAATAATTATCAATCAATCAAAGTAATCTACATATGCTCTTTTTAATTGATTTTCCTTTTTGCCTGGGATGGTGTATGTGACCAGACTTTGAAAACTTGGCTTTGACATTTTTCCATAGACTGTACCTCTCAGGCATATATCCTTCCATGCACTGTGTGCTCTGATCCTTGCTCTTCAGTTTGGCCTTTGGAATGAAACTGCCTCAATCTCCATATTTCATTGAGAGGTCCACCAGTCAGCTCTGCAAATACATGAAATATGGTAAAAATATAAATCAATAAAGTCTTCCTGACAAGCAAGGTATAGATTTTAAAGATTTTTTAACTTGCAAGCCATTTTCTCTATGTTTACATGTTAACATATCCTGATATTAGATTATTTTTGAACAGGAAAAAGAAAACAAAACAAAACATAACAAAAAACCTCAACACAACAGTTTATGCAGTTAAGCCAAAGTTATTGAAAGTTTTAATTCTAGGTATGTATATAAGTGCATTGATATTAGTAAATCTGCATGTCTCCTTGATACAGTTCCAAAATTCAGCTGAAATACATGTGAATACACCTACTTCAGAGAGAAAACAAAAGGAAAAATAATGCAGAAAACCAGCAGTTTGCCAGAAACAGTAACTGGATTTTAATAACTGCAGAACAAACAGTCCTACCTCATGGAATTCACTTCTCACATTTATTTATGACAATATTTTAAGGTCATAGAATCATAGAATAGTTAGGGTTGGAAAGGACCTTAAGATCATAAAGTTCCAATCCCCCTGCCATGGGCAGGGACACCTCGCTCTAACCACATCACCCAAGGCCTCGTCCAACCTGGCCTTGAACACTGCCAGGGATGGAGCATTCACAACTTCCCTCGGCAACCCATTCCAGTGCCTCACCACCCTTACAATAAAGAGCTTCCTCCTTATATCCAATCTAAACTTCCCCTGTTTAAGTTTTAACCCATTACCCCTTGTCCTATCACTACAGTCCCTAATGAAGAGTCCATCCTCAGCATCCCTATATGCCCCCTTCAGATACTGGAAGGCTGCTATGAGGTCTCCACGCAGCCTTCTCTTCTCCAGGCTCAACAGTCCCAACTTTCTCAGCCGATCTTCATATGGGAGGTGCTCCAGTCCCCTGATCATTCTCGTGGCCCTTCTCTGGACTTGTTCCAACAGTTCCATGTCCTTTTTCTGTTGAGGACCCCAGAACTGCACACAATACTCCAAGTGAGGTCTCATGAGAGCAGAATAAAGGGGCAGGATCACCTCCTTCGACCTGCTGGTCACACTCTCTTTCTTCACAGAAGTAACAGTTACAGGTACTTGATGTTTTCTGAATTTAGATTTTGAGATGCCACAGGTGTACTTGGATGTTACTGGCACTGTTTGTTGTCCATTATTTCCTTGCTTACAAGAACACAAATAGGTATTGTTTCCCACCTGTAACTGTTCACAATGCAGCACATGCAGTATTACACACCAACACAAAGAAATCTCTTCTTTTGCTATCAAGAAAAAAACCTATTCCAGAATGATTTCATATGGAGTTATACTTTTACATATGTATAAATCTCCCACCACACGTTGATAACAAAATAGAAAATGCAATTGAGTAACTGTGCTTAGAAACCTTCGCCTTACCTTCTACTCCCCAAATCAGTGATTATCCTGATGATTTCCTACTGGGAAATTGGCAGTCCTTTTGCCATTAGTCCTAATTCTAAAGAACATAATCTCCTGTGACACTTAAAGTGTATTGCCAATTAGTATAACAAAGTAAGCAAGCATACCCTAATCTGTAAATAATGCTTAAAGGCAGTTAGTAATAAATTGGAGAAAAAGAGAATGAAAAAAATAAAATTTCTCACATCCCCTCTCCAGATCCACTTTTTACTAATCTGATTGATTTGTCCTTATCCTCAAAATCCAGATGGAATGAATGTCCAACATCGACAATCTTTTTGCATGTGGAAAGATTCCAAGTCATCCGGAAGAGCCCCAGAGATACATGTTTTTTTACTTCCTTGGGTTTAATATGAGATTGATGGTCTCTGTTGGCAATAGGGATATAACTTGTGCCAGTGGTCAGGTCCCAGGCAAATAAATAAATAAAGTTTCCTACTTCTAATTCTGTACCAATACTGAATTCATGACACTCTCCCTTGGAAACAATTGTATACATAATACAGATACTTGATATGCTAATAATCCATGTAATTCTAGAGATTTTTTATAAGGAAAGAAAATAAATATTCAATATATGTAAATAAATCTGATCTATTAAAGATAGCTTTTACTACTGTCCCTTCAATAACTGCAGTTCAAATTTGACACCTTTTCTTCTCCTTGCAAGGTACTGTCTTCTTTTAAAGAAAATGGTGGTCCTGATGAAAGCTGTTAAGATGTCTGCTTTGATTTTCTTCTGAATATCTAACTTACTTATGCCTGGGCTTTCATATGCCTGCTTAAACAGTAAAGACAGTAATATTTTCTAACCAACCTTTATTGATTTCATATAATTTCAGAATGGTATGAATAACTGTGATGAGAGACAGGACTGCAATAAGGAAACAGTGTGGCTTGCAATGCATTTATTTTTTGTTTCAGTACCTATATTGACACAGATATGATTTAGATGCCAAGTTAAAATATACATCATTATGACTGTTCAAATGCTATCCAAAGGCCTTTACACTAAATCTTCACAATCCAACGGATAATTACAGTATATAAGTGCAGACCACAGAGAAAAAATGAATGCTTAGCCTTTTTGAAAATCCATGCCAATGATTAAAGACACCTACGTATGGATCTTATAATGTTAACTTTTACTATCTCTAATAAATATTTGGTCTCAGTAGCTTTTATTGGGGGAAAACAAATAACAACGTCCATGTGCAACAAAATGTTCAATATATGATTAAATAATTGCATTAATATGACTAACAATGCTCTCATTAATAAAAGAGAAGATTCGAGGCCTACTAAGTGCTACCAACTTCAGATATTTTGGAAATGATCTCAAGCCTTTTTTGTACTGCTGGGAATCTTCAAGGCCATCTTCTTGGGGCTGATACCTGATTAAGTGCATGACTGAAGTCCAACTTCCAAAGCAGGTCCTATCTTGTACTTCAAGAATACACACAATCAGCTGTTTCTTCAGTAATAAGATACCATGTGCTGACTCTCTGTTTTAAAGCTAAATTCTACTAATGCATATGGGATTTTGCTTGGCTTAAACTCTGTCTCAGATGTGCTGAAAAGCAGGATTTTATTTTTAGGACCTTATGCTTGACAAGTACTGTAGCATAGTTAAATAGTTGTGATATTATCTATATTTGTAACCATTTGAACAGAGTGTATGGAGTAATTATTTCTATATAAAATAAGGTTTATCATAGACTATGTAGGCATCGCCTTGTCATCCTGAGTTGCAAAAATGGAACCTGTTGGCATTTTCCTGTTTTTCTTACAGACTATTCTCAGTAATAGGAAACTACTGGTATCTGCTTTTGCAGATGTCCGCAGCTGACGTCAGGAATTTCAGATACCATTGTGCAAGTAATGGTATAACCTGTAAAATATGATGCCTGGGAGTATGACAGCTTTTAGATGTGTCTCAGTTACATGTGGATTGCAATATTCTGTTGATTTTTTTGTTGTTCAGAGATTATGTTTTATCAGAATGGAAATTATGTTTTATCAGAAAGGGAAAATTACCACCAACAACTTCTGCTGAAAGAAAGACAGCTTCACCTGCTTAGTCCCTGATCAATTTACTAGTCAGATTACTAAGATGGTACATCACGAAATTTCTCCTGGAAGTGAAGGGTGCACAATTTATGGTCCTTGGGCAAACTTCCTGTGAAAATTATGTGGGAAAGTAAGATAGCAAAACAAGTAGATCAGCTGGAAATACTAGGTTTGCTGGACCTGGACTGCTGTTAATTTGCAGTTCTTCAGCAGGGAGTCTGAAGATCTCAGGAACCAGGCTTGCAGCAACCCTTCAGCACCTTGTGGGGGCAAGGGGTACTGGAAGCCTGCTGCTGTCCTGGCCGCCATGGTCTGGAATTGCTGCGATAAATTACTGCCATGTTTAGACTTGCAACAGACTTGGGTCGGTTTCAGTGACTGTGTTTTGAAGCTTCAGAAACCAAACCTGACACCAGACACTAAAAAAATTCAATCCACTGCTCTGGAGAACTGAGGCATACAGCAGGCAGCCCAGGAGCACCCAAAAATGCTACTTTCATCCCAGGCACTCAGGACTTGCAGACTCTCTCCTGCTGCATGAGAAGATTTGGGATTTAAGTCCAAGTTACAAGGTTATTAGGGACATGTAAACCTCCCAACCTCCTACCTGTCCCCTAGGACAGTTAGGAGTCCTGGAGGGACAGGTAGGCCTTGTACACTGGGACAAAGATATTCATGGCTCAAAAGTTTTTCACTTTAAAGATCAGAACCTTTCAAACATATCTGGGGAGGGATTTAGCAGGCATCACAGTATCACAGTATCACAGTATGTTAGAGATTGGAAGGGACCTCAAAAGATCATCTAGTCCAATCCCCCTGCCGGAGCAGGAACACCTAGATAAGGTTACACAGGAACGTGTCCAGGCGGGTTTTGAATGTCTCCAAAGAAGGAGATTCCACAACCTCCCTGGGCAGCCTGTTCCAGTGTTCCGTCACCCTCACTGAGAAGAAGTTTCTTCTCAGGTTTAAGTGGAACCTCTTGTGCTCCAATTTGTACCCATTACCCCTTGTCCTTTCATTGTTTGCCACTGAGAAGAGCCTGGCTCCATCCTCGTGACACTCCCCCTTTATATATTTATATACACTAATAAGGTCACCCCTCAATCTCCTCTTCTCCAAACTATAGAGACCCAGCTCCCTCAGTCTTTCCTCATAAGGGAGATGCTCCACTCCCTTAATCATCTTAGTTGCCCTGCGCTGGACTCTCTCCAGCAGGTCCCTGTCCTTCTTAAACTGAGGGGCCCAGAACTGGACACAATATTCCAGATGAGGTCTCACCAGGGCAGAGTAGAGGGGAAGGAGGACCTCTCTCGACCTACTAACCACCCCCCTTCTAATACAACCCAGGATGCCATTGGCCTTCTTGGCCACAAGGGCACAGTGTTGGCTCATGGTCACCCTGTCGTCCACCAGGACCCCCAGGTCCCTCTCCCCTACACTGCTCTCTAACAGGTCGTTCCCCAGCCTATACTGGAACCTGGGGTTGTTCCTGCCCAGATGCAGGACTCTACACTTTCCCTTGTTATATTTCATCAAGTTATTCCCCGCCCAGCTCTCCAGCCTGTCCAGGTCCCTCTGGATGGCAGCACAGCCTTCTGGCGTGTCGGCCACCCCTCCCAGCTTAGTGTCATCAGCAAACTTGCTGATAGTACACTCAATTCCCTCATCTAAATCGTTGATGAATATATTAAATAATACTGGTCCCAGTACCGACCCTTGAGGCACTCCACTAGATACAGGCCTCCAACTAGACTCCGCCCCATAGACTACAACTCTCTGGCTTCTCTCCTTCAGCCAGTTCACAGTCCACCTCACTACCCGATCATCCAGACCACACTTCCTCAATTTAGCCGCAAGGATGCTGTGGGAGACCGTGTCAAACGCTTTGCTGAAGTCGAGGTAGACCACATCCACCGCTCTACCATCATCCATCCACCGTGTTATTTCCTCATAAAAGGCTACGAGATTGGTCAAGCACGACTTCCCCTTGGTGAAGCCATGTTGACTGCCCCTCATAACCCTCTTATCCTTGATATGCTTTAAGATGGCACCAAGGATAAGGTGTTCCATCACTTTGCCAGGAATGGAGGTGAGGCTGACCGGTCTATAGTTACCCGGGTCCTCCTTCTTGCCCTTTTTGAAGACAGGAGTGACATTTGCTTTCCTCCAGTCCTCAGGCACCTCTCCTGTTTCCCAAGACTTGGTAAAGATGATGGAGAGCGGTCTAGCAATGACCTCAGCCAGTTCCCTCAGCACCCGCGGGTGCATCCCATCTGGACCCATGGATTTATGGATATCCAGATTGCTCAACTGGTCTTTAACCCATTCCTCATCGACTAAGGCAGACCGCTCCGTTGACCTATCTTCATCCGGGGTCTCAGCGGTACAGGGCTCTTCAGGACTGCCTCCAGCAGAGTAGACAGAGACAAAGAAGTCATTCAGTAACTCTGCCATCTCTGTATCTTCTGTCACCAGGGCACCCGTCCCGTTCATCAGCGGGCCTACATTGCCTCTGGTGTTAGTTTTACCTGCCATGTATTTGAAAAAGCTCTTTCTGCTGTCCTTGACCCCTCTCGCCAGCTTTAATTCCAAGGAGGCCTTAGCCATCCTAGCAGCTTTCCTACATCCTCTAGCAGCAGCCTTATATTCTTCCCAAGTGGCCAGCCCTTCTTTCCATGACCTGTAAACTCTCCTCTTCCACTTGAGCATACCGAGCAATTCCCTATTTAGCCACGCATCAGTAAAATGTATAAATTCTTTGAAGAACTGTCTTGAAACAGGTTGTGTTTCTTGCAGAATAGAAATCCTGACTTTTGACCAGATCTGATGTCAATTATCATCATTGCTTTGGAATAATGTAGGATAGATTCCTTCATTCCTATGACAGCCATAGCACCAAATCCTCTGCAGTTGTTCACACTCACAGCAGAGTGAAAGAGCGAGAGATTCCTCAGTTCCTTGTCTGATCAGCCATCTCTAGGCAGTGTTCGTCACTGTGAGTGATATAGATAATATCAAAAACCTTCCATCAGGTGTTAAGAACTATTGGCTGGACCACTAAAAAACCCCCAAGTGACTAGTTAGGAGTAATCCACGGAGATCTGAAATTGTGTTTATGGTTCGAGTAAAACAGAGGGTGCACTCCTGCATGATATGGGGACAACATAATATGAAGAAATTCAGTGACAAAAAATACAGAAGAGTGGGACAAGATAATTTTGAATGCTCTAACAAAGAAGGGAATCAAATTTTAGGAATAATAGCCAAAGAAAACATAAATCTTGACTTGTTATACAGATGCAATGGGAACATAATGTGGAAAAATGTCCACAGTATCTTTTGCTTGATCAGATAATCAATGTCAATTTTCTGACTATGAAAGATATTCTTTCTGTGCGAGGTGAGCATGGCAGAGAGTCAGTAAAATGATCTCTTGGAAGAGGAGCCAAGATTTTAGAATTGTGACCTTTTTACTGTCTCATCAACCAGGCTTTAGAGTAATTCTAGACCTCCAACTAAAATGCAGCAGACAGTGTGTGACTGACATAACAACTGCTTTGCTTCTTGAAACCCAACACAACTGGCTTATGATTTCTCCCATTACACCCTTTTATACCTCCTGAAGTTTCAGCTTTTAACTGTGACCCTATTACTATTGCTAAAATACTTAATTACTAATATTTCTTAATTAAAGTACAAGCTGTTCTTACAATTTTAAATTAAAGCCTGTCAAAACCACTTTATTTTCTCTGTGAATGTGAAGAGTAAGGTTAATGTTACGAAGGAGCTCTTGAGCTTGCGAAGAGCTCATGAATCAGGATTCAAAGGAAAATAATCCAGTATTTCTTTGAATAGATTTACCACATATTCTAATTTTTGAAGTTACAATGTGGCTGTATCATCAGCTTTTCTGCAGATGACAAAGAAATTAGCTTTGACTTTAAACAAAGTCCCAGGAACTAAGGTGATGCAACTTAGGAAGGGTGGCTCATATCTTATCACTTGTTGCACAGCACTTGCCATTTGGGTGACTTCTTTTAGTTCCCTCTCCTACCTGACAATATGATAGCCAATATGATTCAAAGCACTTTATAACTATTTCCATGGCTCTTTTGCATTCCTCCAGTTTACTTGTAGTCCAGACATTGTCACGTTATACAAATGCATTAGAATTGTGGGACTAAATTACAAGACAGCAACCACGAAAAAACGTCCCAGCAGCACAGGCAGCTGAAGATCATGGATGGTTAATAAGATGTATTCCATCAACCGCTAACTACTGCATCCACACTTTAGGCTATCCACACTCTGCAGGGAAAATGTTAGCACCTTTCCAGGAAACTGGGATGAAAGAAATGTGATATCCCTGGCAAAACCTTCAAAGTATAAATAGAAGTGGATCCCTGGCTTTGCAGATGAGTGTGGACAAAGTTTTGATGTCTACACCTGTAAACCACTATAGATGTTTCTAACTTTCTGCATAGCGGGACACCTAATGACCTTATTTGCAAGTGTGAAATTAAAAGTGAACATAGTATAGGAATGAATGTAAAAAGTCTTATTTTAAGGACACTGGACAGAAAGAAACCAAACCAAAACAAACAAAGCAGAACACAAAAAACTGTTTGGAAAAATGTTAAATTATAAGACTATTCAAAGGACTTTTTTTTTTTTTTTTCATTTTTAAGTGCCAAATACTACGTACCTTGATGACTAATTGTGAAAAAATCCTACAAAAAGTTTGAAAAATATTTTACTAGGTCTCATAGGGATCCTACGTAGTTGATGTTTACAAAGAATTAAGATATTGTTATTTGTAATGCTCTGGTCAAAATTAAATAAGCTGTATTACGTAATCTTCCCTTATAGCTATTGTAAATAAATTAGTGGAAGGAAATTGCAAAGTTATGAAAGTTTTGGATTGAGTTAGAAG